AAGCCAACTCCAAGTGAATTTCTTTTCAACTATAGCTAATAATCCTACAATTTCATCGAACAATACAATCATTTTGATGAGTACAAAGTTTTTTTTTTTTTTTTTTTTTTTTGTGTGTGTGATAGTTGAACAAATCTTATAATGACTGTCATCTATTAATAATTAACGTTGTGATTTTATTCAACAATATAATCATTTTGTTGTTGGCGAACTAATTTTTCGTGACATTTGAACGCATCTTACAACTTTAATTTCCATAGTATGATTATTTTGTTGTTAGCGAACAAAATTTTCGCCACAGTTCAACTCATCTTACAATCTTATTTTCCATTGTATGATCATTTTGTTGCTAGCCAACAAATTTTTCGGTAACACTTGAACTCATTTTACAACTTTAATTTTCACCACATGATCATTTTGTTGTTAAGAAATTAATTTTTTGCGACATTTGAACACATCTTATGACCTTAATTTCCACTTTATGATCATTTTGTTGTTAGTAAATTAATTTTTCGCAACATTTGAACATATCTTACAGCCTTAATTTCCACTTTGTTGTTGGCGAACTAATATTTCGCGACATTTGAACGCATCTTATGCCTAATTATCCTACAACTTTAATTTCCTCCGCACGATCATTTTTTTGTTAGCGAACTAAATTTTTTCATGACATTTAAACGCACAACCTTGATTTCCTCGCGCTTAGCTTGCAGAAATGTCAAACTACAAGCGGTGCCTCCCAAAGGTCCGCCGGCGCTGCAGCAGTAGCGCGGCGGCATAGAAATGGAGGAGCACGGTGGCGTCAATGTCACTGTCGGGGAAGCTGCAGTGGGTATGGACGATCTGCTGGCGGATTCGGAGCAGCCCGGCGACCCTGACCCTGACCCTGACCCGGCCCCGGCTGCCTGATGAAAGGGGAACGACTGCGATTTGGAAATGGACTTTATATATATATATATATATATATATATTGAAATAATTGCGTGGGATTTTCGGAACTGGTTTTTCATGGATTCGTCAATGAATTTGAATGATTTAAGACCGTACAATAATTTCTGAATGATTGGTTCTTGGTGATGAATGTTTTGGATTTATCATCAATACAATATATATGTGGGGATGATGAATTTTTAATAATTATATATATGTGGATGTGTTTTATAGAATTTTTCTTGGAATGTTTTAATAATCCAGCAGCCATGGGAGACTTATGAGTGCACAAAACCCTAATTTGAATCTGAATCTGAATCTTCGCCATTACAGCTGCAGGGATAATGGAGACAACAATGTGGAACAAATTAAAACTTCTGCAGGGGGACGATGAGCAACGTTGGCATCAACATTAATGGAGTCAAAAACCCTGAGACTATCATTGTCGATCATGATCAAGATCAGGCTGCAGCGGGATGAAGAGAAAGATGTGCAGCAAGTGGAACCAAGAACTGCACCAGAAATCCATGGATGCTGTCTATCAGCTTGGGGAAGGAAGTACGTCTCCCTCTCTCTCACACATACATATACATGTATATATATTTATATATATATATGTATTTGTTTTTATTACAATTAGGGAGAACTTTAAAGAATTATTCGTGCATTTTTTATAGTGTTGATTTAGTACCGTTCAAAAAATTGTTTTTTGTAGCATTGGTTTATTTTTATGTTAATTAAGATTTCGAAGAAAAAAAAAACTCTTTTGACAAAATAGGATTAAAATACAGTCTATGAAATTTAGGATTCGAAGATAAATAATTAGTTACAAGTATAGGATTAAATTTAAAATTTTACAATTTTTTTTGGTTCGTTGACTAATAATTGAATTTTTGGCGCGTAGAATGTTTCCCCAAAGACATCCTACAGATAGAATGTCCGGGGCCGACAAGAATGCAAGTCGCAAGTCATCTCCAAGTGAATTTCTCTTCAACTATAGCTAATAATCCTACAATTTTATTGAACAATATTTATTAATAATGAATGTTATTTTATTTAGCAACATGATCTTTTTGTTGTGGGCGAACAAATTTTTTGCGATATTTGAACGCATCTCTTTAATTTTCATAGTATAATTATAATTTTGTTTGCAAACTAATTTTTTGCGACAGTTGAACATATTTTACAATCTTAATTTTCACTGTATGACTATTTTGTTGTTAGCGAACTAATTTTTCGCAACATTTGAAACCATCATACAACCTTAATTTTCCCCACATGATTATTTTGTTGTTAGGGAACTAAATTTTTGCAACATTTAAACACATCTCACAATCTTAATTTCCATAGTACAGTAATTTTGTGGTTAGCAAACTAATTTTCCAGGACTCTCAAACACATCTTATAACCTTAATTTCTATTGTATGACCATTTTGTTGTTAGTAAACTAATTTTTTGCGACATTTAAACGCATCTTACAGTCTTAATTTCCACTGTATGATCATTTTGTTATTAGCGAACTAATGTTTCGCGACTATAGAACACATTTTACTTTCTTCATGCCTAACTATCTTACAACTTTAATTTCCACTGCACGATCATTTATTGTTAGCAAACCCTTTTTTTTTTTTTTTTTTTTTTGCGACGTTTGAACACTGCACCTTACAACAACTTCATGCCTAATTATCTTACAACCTCGATCAATGGCACCTCCCAAAGGACCGCCGGGGCCAGCAACCGACCGGCGTGGCGATCATCAAGCATCGCCATCACCAGGACTGTAATAATCCGAGGAAATTCGGGTGTATGTCCAAACTGGAGATTGATGATCTTCCGCAGCAGGCCACCGCCGGCGGCGGCGTAGAAATGGAGGAGCACGGTGGCGTCGCAGTCACTGTCGGGGAAGCAGCAACGGGAGTGGAGGATCTGCTGGCGGATTTCGAGCAGCCCGGCGACCCTGACCCTGACCCGGCCCGGCTGCCTGCTGGAGGGGACGACTGCGGTTTGGAAATGGACTTTTTAATATTTATATATTATATATATATATATTGCAATAATTCGTCAATGAATTTGAATGATTATGACCTTTACAATAATTTTTGAATGATTTTGGTTCTTGGTGATGTATGTTTTGGATTTATCAATATAAGATGTATGTGGGGATGATGAAATTTTATTAATTATATATATATATATATATATATGATTATATGTGGATGTGTTGTAATGTTTTTTTGTTGGAATGGTTGGATGATTGAGGTTTGATTTTTCATTTAATTGATGAAACTATATAAGTAATTGATTTGATATTTTTTTAAAAAAAAAAATTAGTGCAAAAACTTCGTTTAAGATAATATGTGCAGTTTTCTCGTTTGTTTAACATAATTTGTTCAGTTTTATCGGAGAGTCTGTTCACTTCGTACTTCTAAAATACGTATATTTTTAATATTTTTTCTTGAAATACAGTTATATTTAATATCTGTATTTTTCATTGAAAATAATCTAGATTTATCAGTTATTTTATCTTAAAATATTATTTGATAAATAAATATCAAATAAAGAAGAATTGATAAATTAAATTTGTGAATTTTTTTAAATATTATTTTACTTTTAAGAAAATAATAATTTTTCTTCAAATACATTAAATTCAATATTTATTTTTAATTTTTAAAAAAAATTATATTAGATTTACCGGTTATTTCATCTTAAAATCTCATTTTTTATAAATAAACATCAAGAATATTAATATTCAAAATTTAAATTCAAAAAATACTATTATTCTTCTTATGGAACACAGAGAGTATTGTATTTAATATCTATTTTTTATTATCTCTCCGTCCAGTTACAAAGTATACATATTTCTATTTTGGGATGTCCAATTACAAAGTAAACATTTCATTAAATACCCCACTTTTTTCCACAAATACCTTTACTTTACATTACATCATTACTTTTGTACCAAAAAGTAAGGGCAAAAATATCATTACACTACTTTTACCTATCCACTATAATTAAAATACTATTATTTCTTAAACTTCGCTCCAAAAATAAATGTATACTTATTGTGTGGACGGTGGGAGTATAAAATATTATATTTATTAATCATTTCCTCTTAAAAATATCAATAAATAAATAAATAAAGGAGGTTTAGTAAATTTATGAAATGTTAGGTTTATAATATTAATTCTTATAAGTTACTTTGAATCGAAAAAAAATATTAGAAACACAAACTAGCAAATTCAAATTAATTGTGTATCTAATTATATGTTTACATAATGAAGTTCAATTTAGGTCCTCTTCGATAAAATTGAAATAAACTTTTTAAAGCCACTTTATAGCCTTTAATTTGGGCCTTTTTCAAACACGATCACTTTAGGATTCAAGTTACCAAAAGTATATATTTTTATTATTTTCATTCGTTCAAAAACCTGAAGTACATACTACTTTTTCCGTTTCATAACAACATATCTATTTTTTCTTTCATTTTAATCTGTCCATAATAAAGTATTCATTTTTTTTTATTAACTGTATTATATACCTAACATTACAAATATCCTTACAGCTTACAATATATTACACAAATGTCGTTACATTTATATTATATTACACGTACTAATAAGGTTATTTTAGTTATTTCTACTTTATTCCTACTATACCTCAGTATAATACTAATAATTTTAAAAATTACGTGCAAAAAGCAAATAGATATTTACTTATGGGACAGATGGAATATATTTTTTTTTGTAAATTTTGTTACATTACACATTACAAATACACTCAAATTTATATTTATGTAATTATATTAATATAAAGTGGGAAAAAAAATAAAAATAAAAACTTTCACACAAATAAATATTCACTAACTACTATTTAAATACAATATTTGCATAAAAAATAAATATATTGCATTTTTCAACTGAAAAATGATGAAACTAGTATAGAAGAATCTTTGAATAAATGACATAATATTGTAAAGTAAATTTGGCCGTTGTTCATTATATTTCATTTCCCCAAAATTATTTAATTTCATATATATACTTTTTAAATTATTATATTGAAAATTTATTAAATTAAAATGTTCACTAGTAATAAAATTTATACTGTAATTACATTAATGGTAGCAAGCACATCCGAAAAGACGAAACTACCCTCGGTATCCTAGACATTCATCATTCCTACCTCAAGCAGGGTCAAATTCGGAAAATAACCGTATCGCACGCCTAAAATGACGATACTACCCTCACAATCCTAAGCCACATTTGCACTCAAGCAGGGTCATATTCGGGATCCCAGCCCCCTTCCCGAATCGTGGTCAACTTCGGGCTCTCGAAGCTCCTCCTCATGACCCGACTCATGGCCCGAATCAAACGCACCGTAGAGTCCTTCGGAGGGCCCGAAGCCCGAACCTTGTTGCAGAAGCTCAGATGTCTGTCCATGGCTTCCTCCGGGCTTATCAGCATCTTCTCGCACCTCAAAACCTCGTCTTTAACTGCCTCTGCACAAAGCCCGCAGACCCATTTTCCTCCATGCCTGAATATCGATCGATCATCCAATTAATCAAATAAATTTCAATAAAAAAACACAGAAAATTCAATCATGTCGATAATTGATTTGATTTAATTACTTACATCTCTCGAACTGTTTGGATGTACGATGGAGTGCATTCTTCAATCAGCCCGCAGCAATCGCACTCCACTGTTTGGGCCGAGATTATTGAACCCACGGGCCCTTCTAGCCCGGCCTTTATCTCACTCATCATCTTTGTCGACATCTCTGCAACACCAAACCCTAATTTTCATTATGGGAATAAACAGAAATTAAAAGTAACAGATAAAACCCATTGATGAAGGAAGAGAGAGAATTGATTATCACCTGCAGATTTTAGAGAGAGAGAGAGAATTAATTCAGATATATATATATATATATGTATATATATAAATCAAGAAAACAAAGAAGTGGTGTTTTTTGCTTTTGTAGAGAGTGTGGATTTTGCTGTGGAATGAAAGTGCTCACGCAAGAAATGCATTTCTAAAAAGGATCCTCAAGAAAAGGACATTAGAATTATTTATTTATTTATTTATTTTATTAGTGAAATTATATTAATATCGATTAGGTATAGTATAGAGACAGAAAATCAAAATTAATTCAACACCAACAATTAATAATAACGAGAAGAAAATACATACATATATATACATACATTCATGTCGGTGTACATACACATCGCCACGAGTGAATATATTTTTTATAAAAGAAAATTCATGTCATTTTTGTTAATTAAATAAATAAATAATGTGTATCTTATTAAAAGTTTAATCAAATACTTCATCCGTCCCGTAACAAATACCCTTATATATTTTTTTTAAGTAACTGTACTATCTACCTAACATTACAAATATCCTTACAACTTATAATATATTACACAAATGTCATTACTTTTATATCACACGTACTAGTAAAGTTATTTTAGTCATTTCTATTTTATTCCTATTATATTTCAATATAATACTAATATTTCTAAAACTCCGTGCAAATGGATATATAAATATGGGACGGAGGAAGTATATTTTTTGTAAAAGAAAATTTATGTCATTTTTATTGGTTGACTCCCGTTTGTAAATAAATAAATAATTAATGCGTATATTTAAACCTAAATTTTTAGGTGAGACGGTCATTTATATCATCTAACAATTTTATATTAAATCTTAGATATCCCTCAATTAAATGTACGTCTTTATTTACTTTCTAAATAAGATAGATAAAAAAATAAAATGCATGAGTTTATTGACAAAAATAAAATATTACATAGTTATAACTGACCGAAAGAATGTAATTTAGCATCATCCCACTTATAAAGTTTTTTTTTTTTTTTTTTTTTTTTTTTTTTTTTTTATAACGTGAGAACCAGCCGCCGCTACTGGAGAGTGCGCACTAAGTAAACCTCCGGCCGAACCTAATATCCTGCAAATCAAGTCCGACGAAAAAGTCACACTAGGTGAACCATGCGTGTCAGATAATTTAAAAAAGTAGCATTATACACTATATATCGCAAACCCATTAAATTCAATGGTAATTTAAATTTTTTTAATCTTATTGTAATATATATGATACATATTTTGTAATGACTTATATAAAATTATTTTAAGTATCTTAAGTATTTATATTTATTTGATTAAATAATTATTTTAATTTAAGATTTTATTTAATTAAGCATATATTTTTTAAACCAATAAATGGCTGCCACATATATATATGCTGATGTGGAATTATCTTTTTAAATATTCTCACTTTGATTTGTGACGAATAATATAATAAATGAAAATATTTAAAAAAATGGATTCCCATATAATAACGGTCAAACCTGTAGATAATTTTTCATTAAATATTTTGTGTGTTCAAACCTAATAGTGATGATTCATTAAATTAAATTAATTTCATACTAATCTTAATATGGAAGTTTCTTTTTTATATTATTTCTTGAAAAGTTCACATTTGTGTTGTGCAAATAAAATGTATATGTCGGCTGTGTATATAAATCTTGTTAAAATAAATCATTACAAAAATGTCACTTTATCATATAAATATTTAAATAAATAGTTTCATATTTGGAGTCAATAAAATGGTAATATAATAAATTTTAGGGTCACACCAAAAGGGTATAGGTGTCACTTTGTTTTATTTATGATTTTTTTTCTCATCATAATTAAGAAAGTGTCTCATTATTCAATTATTATTAATATCATGTCGATTTATAATATATTGATTTTTATTTTTATTTTTGTAATTTCTTTTCCTTCATAAAAATATACAATTTTGAAATTAAGTGTTGTCTAGAAGGAGGTGGTGATGGCAATGGAAGTTTGGAATGAATACGACAAAATTAATTTACTTTTGATTTTACGTAATTGCGATCAATTTTCTAATGATTTCATAAACTGTGAATTTAATTCATCGGCGTTTATATTTTTGACTTGTACACGCTCAAATTGCAAATAAGTTTTAAAATATCTATTTTTAAACTTTTAAAATTATAAATACACTCATTATTCTTAGATCTAATATAAAAAATAATAAATATATTCAAAAATAGTTATTTTTCTCTAAGAATAATACATATATTTATAATTTTAGGAGTTCAGATATGAAAATTCTGAAATTAACTCGTAATTTGATCGCGTATATGTCAAATACCATGGCCGAAAAATTATACCAAGAATTTATTAACCCATAAAAGAATTTAAGACAATTTAAAAAAATATAAAGATTTGGCACAATTTCATGATACTATGAATTTTGTGAAATTTAAAATAATAATAATAATATAATGACATTTATATAAAAAATTATATAAATATAAGAATATTTTTAATGCATAAAAGATAAATATATACCTTGTTATGGGACGGAGGAAGTAATAATAATATCGCACCACATCCATATTCGCCCTGTCCAAAGTGCATTAATTATTATTTTGGTGTGTAGTTTTTATCGAACATCAGACAACGAATCATCATTAGTCACTGTATTGCTCTGTTCTATTTTCATTCGAAACGAAAAAACAAAAACATCCTTTGAAAAAAAAAAAAAAAAAAATCAGATTCAGACCTAATGTATTTCTTCTTCTTCATCTTCATCCTCATCTTCCAGTTCTTTGATCAGCTTTTCAATCTGCCTTCTATACACCGGCATAAAATGATCGGCGATCATCGTCTGCGACAGCCTCAGCTTACTGTACAACGATCGCGGCGTCAGAAATATTCCCACCCGATCGCCGCTCGCCGTAGTCGCGATCGTCGTCGTGGTCGTCGAGCTGTCTTCTTCCTCTTTCCCGTCGCTCGACGGACTGCTATCGCCTTCCCGCTCGCCGTCGTCGTGAATCAGAGTCACGATGTGCATAATCTTTCCGGCGGGGAAGAATCGGTGAACTTCTTTTGTATTCGGGACTGAGCTCTGCATCTCGCCGTCGCTCACCTCGGCGATGGCCGCCGCTTCTTCTTCTCGGATCTCCTTCACCGAGCTGTCGCCTTCGTCGGACTCCACCTGGTTATACAGCTCACGCTCGATTTGCTGCCACAGCTCGACTTCCGACATGCGATCCTCGTGTCGGATTTCATCGACAACATCCTCGGGATCGGAGAGGCTGATCTCGCTTATATGTTTGTTCGAGGTCTCCATTGCTCCGACGGATGAAGATACGGGAAGCTCTACGATTTCGGAGACGGTTGTCGTTGTCGTCTTCTCGAGAAACGGCTCGAATGAGTCGCGTTGATTCGATGATTCCGGAGAGTCCTCCATTGCGTTCGAATTTATCTGATTTGCCGACGGTCTGCGGCGAGGACCCATACACGACCACGTCGATATTTGCAGGCTCGGACGGGACCAAGCCGCCTGAGCCATGCTTTGAGCCCTCTTCATAACAACCTTTATTATTACGTAAAAAAAACCCTTAGTCGACACGAATCACACAAAGAATATATGAATATATATATGTTTTTATGCGCGCAATTACTAATTTACGTTCATACCTGAGTACGGCTAGAAACAGGGCGTAGAATGGCGCCGGCGCCTGCGACTTTTGCCTTGGCGGTAGCCATTGAAGGAAGTCGGGAACCCAATGCTGACGCAGAGCGATAAACAGTACTAAGTATTCGAGTACGTTCGATTTGATTCCGCAGATCATTCAGCCAAGCAGATGCAGTTACCTGTGCAAAGATAAATGGTAATGATCGAAGAGGCCGTATAAATTCATTATATACCAAAATCGAATAATAACTTAAAGCAACCGATAACAAGCAATACTAGAAGCTACGAACATGTAGATGAATCGAGAGACCATAAAAGAACGAAGGAGGTCGTGCAAATACTCACACAGTACCTCAGCACGTAAATCGTCCACTGATGCAGCTGAAAAAGTGGGCACCAAATCGGCTCCGTTTATTACAGAAATTATGAAGTCATTTCCCGACTCGGCCAGTTCCCATGTCATGCACGCAGCTACACGAGATCAATAAAAGAAGCAATGCCAATTTGAGAAACGAAATCACAGGGACAGAATGGAACCGAAAAACCATTTCTATCAATATTAATCGGAACCTGGAGCAAATGCAACACATGTGGCAGTTGATAACTCTTTCCGTTCACGCAAAATGTATGTTAGAAGGGCAGCAGTTCCTCCACCAAGAGAATGTCCTACAATCTAAAACCACCGAATAAACAATCTTATCGACGTACAATTATTATGTGAAACCGAAAGCTACTTCCAGAAACAAAAATTTAGTCTAAAAACAAGTAATTTGAATCGAGGATGCAACAGGGTCTAGCAAGACGAAATGCAAAATGTCAAAACCTTAAGTTTGTAATCAGGATAATTGCCGAGTGCCGTAAGAAGACAAGGGGTTGCTAGCTTTGCAATCCATCTAGCAGCTGCTACCATTCCACAATGAGCGTATCCCAAAACCAGGTTGCTAACTCCTTTCTCGCAAACAACCGTATGATGGAACGGCACGACTGCTCCAGTAGCAGCCGTCAAGGTGTCCTTAATACTATGAGTTCCGCGAATTAATAAAAGGAACTGCTTTGTTTTATGATCAACCAGGACGGTGAAGGCTGGCTTTAAAATCTGCGAGATCGTACATTGTGTAATTAGGAAAATAATATAGATACAGTCATACAGAACTATTCTTAAGCTGAAGAAGAATATATACAAAACTGTTAGAAAGACGAGCACAGATGAAAACTTACTCCAGCTTTAGGTTCTTGGAGGAGAACATCTTCTTCGGAAAATCCAGTCTCCTCCAGAAACAAAGGAAAAGGTTTCTTCGAGAAATGCCAGCAGAATGTCAGCAAATTTAAAAGGTATCTGAGCTCTGCAGCAATTTCGGGTCCTTTAAGCTGTAAACTTTCTTTACCTCCAAATTCGCGACTTACGTGCAATTGACCCTGCAAAATTTTGCTCTAAATGACAAAAATCGAGATTGTGAAATTAAAACTGCTGATAGATGTGTATGCAGGCCTCCGTAGGCTATTTGTAGTCTTTTGTATCTGATTAAGAAAAGTAGCGCTATCATCCTTTACATATTAAATGCATTTGACATTGCTCGTGTGCAAAGAGATATGCCATGTAAGTCAGTTATACACAGGGAAGAAAATCATTTGTAAAAGAGAAATTAATTGCTCAAAACAATAATTGAAAAAAATACCAAAACAACAACCTCATACGATGCAGTAGTGTCATTTTATCATGTTAGGTGTTACAAGAGAATGACGTGAGGGTTGATCAAATAGAGTTAATGGGTTACCCCAAAGTTAAATGCGTCAACAGAACATCTTTCAGGGGATATACATGCAAATCAAAGAACAAGTAATTCTACCTTAACCGGGTATTATTTAACTCAATTAACCACTTCACTTGCAAAATCAATGAAAAGTGATATTTCCCACTTATCGAACTCAAAACTATTCAAATAATTAACGAACATAAGGGTACTCCTAAGTCAAGATAGAGTGAGCAGGTTGTCGTCATGACAATTCAAACTTCTCAAGTGCAATTGTGATCAATAAGTTAAAGGGTTCAAAAGTCACCAAATCCTAATTGCAGCAAAAAAATAGTGAAATATGTAGCGCATAGGGACAAACTACAGCAGGCCGCGTTTGTTTAAAATATCTAACCAAGAGAGAGGATTTCTAAATGCCAAGAAAAACAATCAGATCCCACCAAGACAAGTCAACCTAATTCGTATAACAGCAATAAAGTTTCGAAACCCATTACTACGCATAACCATACAAACAAATGCAAGAAATTATAAATAAATAATAAGTTAGAATTTCTTTCTTTCGAAAAATTCTATCATAACGCTCCCTAACATTATTGCTAGGATCAATTCCAATCATCTTCACTTACATACCTGCCTTTTCAAAAGGAAGCTAATCCCGAAAGCCAAATCTCCAATTGGCCACTTCCCCAAAGTCTCTGAATAAGTGAATCTAAGGGTCTCCGATAAGGTTGAAATTGTCTCTAGCCACGTTGCAGGCGCTTGTATAAGTCTGTGAGACACTCTATCCGATCCTAATTGAGCATGGCTATGCACCTCACCCCCATTTTCATCGTCACCAACTTCTGGATCTGATTGCAGCTTCTTGTTCAGTGTATAATACAGAAGTGCAGCTGCACCTGCAGCCGTGGCCATTGTGGCCGTCGCCATGAATATCGAAACCCTGCAATAAACATTAATTACATTAAGCCATAGCTAAAATTAAAACCCAACCATGAAGTAGAACAATAACAAACTAGAATGAACAAATGAACTGCAATCTTACAGCAGGGAACTCCATGAACATCATCAAATTATATAACATTCCAAATTTTTTTCGATAACAATAAACTCCAAAAATTGAATCCTAACATCAATCCTGACAACTAAGAATATACAATATATATCCAATTAGATTCTGGCCATTAAACCCACGACGACCCCACCCTCTAAATCAAACAACAGGTTTTTGTGGTCCATGGCGAAGCCGAAGAAGATTTCAATTTATCAAAACAATAGACTGAAAATCATTTCATTTCGTATTCATCTTGACTCAGAAATCCCTAATTTCTTAACCTTAGACAACCAAAAAGAACACCAAAATGAAAAGCCAATCCAACTGAGTCAACCTGATCATGATCACAATCTGGAGAAGCTAAACCCTAGAAAACCCAATTCGAACAAGCATTTAAAACATCTGAAATGAAAAAAACATATATATATATATATTCAAAAAAATAAAAAATAATTTTGTCGCAGGAAGAAACAAAGAAAAACAAGAGAATATCCAAAACAAATCATTACAAGGCAAATTACGGACCTGAATTAATGGATGGGTCTGAGCGAAAATAGGCAACGGATGGTCGAGGTTTTGGCTTCAAATCCAAGGGAAACAACAAGATGAAGCCAACAAGGAAAGCATATATATATATATATATATTGCAAAAATCAAACAGCAGTGAAGTCAACAAAAAAAAGGATTAACTTGAAAACGGAATCCTTTGTTTATCCCTAAATTGGAGAAATTCTGTCTCGGATTTTGATTTGGAAAAGGGGAAGGTTCTACGCTGCGTGGTGGTTTTGGCGAATCGAATCTCACTGGTTTTGAAGAAATACTTTTATTTCTATGGAATTAATTACTTATATACTATATGAAATATTCAGTACGGACATTTATAAATACGAAATATTTTTGAAATAGGGATTATTATAAATTTTAAATTATAAATTTTAAAATATATAATTAAAACGTATAATTATATTTTTTTTAAAAAAAAAAAAAGATAAAATAATTAATAATTAATTAAAAAATATATTAATAAAAATATAATTATATTAAAAAATTATAAATTATAAAATTTAGAATAGAATTAAAATGTACAATTGTGAATATAATTGTTCTTCATTCATCTCTTAACCATCAATCTATTTTTTATTTTGATTTGTGTTATAACAAAGTATCTATTTTCTTTTTATAGTATTTTTTTAATTTTCAATATATTATACAATAACATTACATTTTTATTATACAATAAAATTAGCTTAATTTTTTTAATATTTATTTATATTATTACATCTCATCTCAATATAGTACTAATACTTTTAAACCAAAAAATGAATAGATATGATAAGGGGAGTATTAAAATTGTGTTAAAAAAATATATCTATTTATTTTATAGACTATTATTATTATTATTATTATTATAACAACTTGAAAATTGTGTGACAAGTCTTCTTGGATATTATTATTATTTTTTGTTTTATATTGTGAAAATTGTATGGTAAATAGATTGGAGGTTCAAAAGTTTGAATTCATGACCTGTTATACAGTTATTTTATTATTATTTTAATATTTTTTATTGAAAAATTTAACTCAAATTTTATTATTGTCATTTTTTAAATAATTCAAATTAAATTTTTATTTTTATCTTATATTAAAATTAACTTTAAATTTATAATATAATAGTAAAACATTTATTGTCAACCTTCGGCTTCACCCCTACTTAGCGAGTCTGGAGTACGAATTCGATAAGACTTCATGCCCTTCACCGAGAGTGATTAGGGTTTCCTTTCCCAGATCTAATCTTCACCCAAACCCGACCCCAATTCCCCCAATTCCAATTAATTTCTCGAATCAGGTATTTTAGTGTCTGGGATTGAAGTTTCAGATCACCATTGAGTACTTCTTTCTTCTTCGAACGGAGGTGTAGGCGTCAGAAACCCTCGACGAATTCAAGCTGCCAATGCAATTTGGGTTGGTTAAAAATTGCTGGAGTTTTCGGAGGAGTATTGGAAAAGTTACAGCCTTGTTTTGAGTGCGCCAATGTCTTGGGCAGGACCGGAGGATATCTATCTTTCTACATCGCTTGCTAATTATCTTGACAGTAAGTTATTGAGATTTTGAAATTCTGAAGTCTTTGAATGTTTTTGTAATTTTCTTTCAACTTATTAGTCCTTTGAATGTGTTTTTTTGGCTTTTGGAGTTCGTTGTTGACATTCTGAAGTCAATATGGTGTTCTGTTGTGTTTCTATCAGTGTTCTTGATTTCTTTTGGGGTTATTTTGTACTGCCAATTGTGATTCTTGAAATTCTTGTTTGGATCTTCAAATTAGTATTATTGGTGCTTTTTTGAATTATATACGTTGAGGTTTACTTTTCTTTTATGAGATTGATGTTTTGTGTGCATAGGCTGAGGATATTGTGTGTCTGTTGGATGTGCATTTTGGGGTTATGAGTTGCTTTGAATTGATTATATTGTGTTTTCATCGTATAAAGTTGTAGAATTTAGTAAGCCATAGGCTAAAGGAGTTATCAAGAACTCAAACTGTTGTGGATTTGGACTAGAAATGCTGTTAATGCTTCTAAATGCTGAAAGCTTTATGAATCTAATATGATTTTGTTGCATTTTTTGACTGACTGGTTGCTGGCCCGCTGTGGCATTTGAATCCGACCTTAATTGATAGATAGAGTGGTGTTGTTAATCCTATCTTTGGACCCGTCTTCTTTATGTTTCTATCATAATCCTTTTTCCTTTGTAAGTGAATTTCTTCATTATGAAGAATAGATGGTGTGTTTGTTTGGGGGTTTGGATTTTGGGTTTTTGGATTCGAATAGTAAAATATAAATAGGTGTTGATATGATGTTTTAATTGTAAAATTGATTTTTAATATAATAAAAAAATAAAAATAGATGTTTTACTCGATGTTTTTTAGAGAAAAAAATTGGTGAGTTGTAGAAATTTTTTAAAGTTTGATAAAAGAACACACCCGTAGAGATTTGTATAATGAGGTTTGGAAATGGATCGTCTTGTTTTGATAAAGGTAATTGCTGCCAATTTGTTCTGCTGTTTGTTGCATTTTCAAATCCGGGAAGTATTTCTCTGTTCATTGTTTCAACCGCTAAATCCATGGCGTGGTTTTACTGGCTTTCTATTTTGGAACTCGGCTCTAACCAAATGAAAAAAGATACAATTTTTTTTATAAAGTGCATTTGTTGTCGAGAGTCTTGAAGCTTCAATGGTTTAATGTCGTTGTAGTTTAAAGTAGAATGTTCTTGTTGGTCTTTTGGTGAACTTTTATGTTACATTGCTAATCGAAACATGCTCTTCTCATTTTCCAGAGAAACTTCTTGTATTGCTTCGCGATGGGCAGAAACTTGTTGGGATTCTTCGTTCCTTCGATCAATTCGGTACCGATTTAGAACCATCATTGATATTTCAAGTCTACACCCCCTCGATTTTTATCTCTTTAAAATAATAATGTTATGATATCTCACATACACAGCTAATGCCGTTCTAGAAGGAGCATTCAATCGTGTAATCGTTGGTGATATGTACAGCGACATTCCGTTAGGTCTATATGTAATTCGCGGAGAAAATGTAGTCTTGATTGGGGAACTGGTGCGCCAATCTCCATTTGCTAACTTCTCCCAATATTTACTTTGATTACATTTTCTTTTTCACCATTTTAACTTTTGAAATGACGATTTAGGACACGGATAAGGAGGAGCTCCCGCCACATATGACCTGCGTCTCGGCTGATGAGATACTACAAGTAAGCCCTGCTATCCAAACTCTGTACACGAGCTATTTTCAATATGTCTGTAAATTTAGAACTTGAATCGGGATCCAATCATACTTTCAAATCAAACCTGTGACCTTGAACCGAGCTAAAATATTCTGAGATAAAGTTCGATTTTTTATCCAAGGCGTGAAAATTAAGGGCAAAGTCTAAAATATGAAAAATGGCCTGAGTAACAAGCAAGAATCAAGCAGAAATCTACTATGTCACGAATTCTAAGTTTCTTCTCTCTGTTCTTCACGCCATGGATTAACAATTTAACTTCATTACGGATTAAGTTCAATCAGATCACAGATTTTCACCATTTTTATGGTTTATGCTTTTCCCATTTTCTCAGGCACAGAGAGCCGAGCGGGAAGCTTCAGAACTCAAGGGTACTATGAAAAAGCGGATGGATTTTCTCGACATGGATTAATGATACACTATGGTTGACGACACCTCTGACAGTATGCAATATTTGCGCTACTTTGTGTCAATATTCATTCTGATTAAATTCCCATTCGGTAGAACCATGCATTGCGCCTTATTTTCATTTTCGTAGAAACAAATAGCGATTAGAGAGACAATGTTGGTTTAGGCAGTGGATTTTTTCTCCCTTTTTTTCGTCGGTCTGTCTGCGTGGGGGTCGACAAATCCTTGGAGTTCTTCCATATATTTTGTTTGGAGGGATTCTGGAATTTGTTGGTATTGGCAAGATGTATAGACTAGTGGCAATGCAATGGCTTTTGTCATCTGATCTTATTTGCTTTGCTGTGATCTAAGCAGAAAAAGATGTTCTTGTGATTTAATAGGGTGATGTTTTAAGGGCCTTTTGATCTATTGATTATCCATCACTTTCTGCATTTTGTCATCAAATTTGCACATAGTTTTGAATTTGACTTTGTCAGGGTGCTAATTTAAATTAATCAGTATTGTGCGGACAACTATTTATATATTCAATTTTTTTATTAAAAAATTTCTTTTACTTCGTATTAACTTGTTTGTCTAATTTTCAAACTACGTTTTATTTTATATTAAAATTAACCAATACAACACTATGTTAATTAAAGTTGGAATTTAATTTAAATGAGTATATTTGATGGACCGAGGGAGTATTAACATTAAAAGTTTACTTGGAAAAATATATTTTTATAAAATTTTATATTTAACATTACTCCATTCAATAGATAGCAGACATCGGAAAGACTTTCGGGTACAATTCAGGCGTAATGTAGCCGAAGAAACGTCAGTTGGTAGGCTATATCTACTTAATGAAAAAAAAAATAGGCTCCAATACTATGTTAGAAATTTTGGAGGAATATAATACAATTGTGTTATTGATCATCAAGATAAAGGGCTTAAATAGGCAATACAAAAAGGACTCCTGGACTCAAATATAATTAATCTAATCTATGAATAAGACCAAATTTTAATATAAAGCAAATTAATAAGTCAGTCTCTTGACACGAATCTCTCCAACAACAAGTCAACCACTGCTCCTGTTACGTCGGGTACTCCAAGCTCCACTAAGTATTGTATAACATGATTTCCTTATTCATTTTCATTCAATGGGAGTGTTTGTCTTGCTACCGTAGAAGTAAGAAATTTCCATGAATAGAAATCACCAACCACATAGACATAAGAAATTATTTTTGAAATCAAGCATCATCCATATTTATTGGTACAAATGTCAACTGAATTCTTCCCCAAAGCCTCAATGAATAGCTTATATTCTTGGAAGTGAAAGTGCTCCAAAAAGTGCATAATAACAGCATGACCATAAGGATTTTTTTTGAAATTAACAATAATCTGGCTAAAAACAAATGTCACCGTCAATACTTGCTTCCAGCTCTTCAGATTAGATAACAATGTTTGTACAACTTGTGCTCCCAATGAATGTGAGCAGACGTATACAAGTTTGGAGTCGGAACTTAGCACATTAACAAGCAACTCAGACATTTGTACTTCGGTGCAAACCTAAAAAAGTTTGCGTATAACAAAATTGGCGACATAATGTACCATTAAGTCGTGGATGTTATGCTTCAACGCAGCATCAATGATAGCTCCAATGAATTTATGATCTCCCTCCTCCAGCCTCTTCTCGAGGAATCGTCGCCCCTCAGAATTCATGGCGTCCACATACATAGGTGATCTCAGATGCTCCCTCCAAAGATGATGAGTTCTTGTGAAGATAATAACTATTTTGAGAGGGAATTAGACATAAGGTTATTTGAAAACAATGTTTTGAGGTTGTGAACATATATTTCATTGTCGGAGAGTATTTAAAATAAATAAATAAAATTAAAATTTCTCCCTCCAAAAATAAATAACACTCCAAGTCGCGAGATTTATAATTTCATAACAATATATTTGGATTGAGATATCCTCTAGATATTTTATTATTTAATCTTAAATAAAGATATACCAAGATATCTTATTTTTCATATCCTCTTTTTAATCTCACTAATATCAAAAATATATACAAAAGTAACTATTTTAAAATATTTAAATATAGTAATAATATCCATGTAGATATCCTAACAAATAATTTTCAAATCAAGATAATTACTGTTAAATCTTTATCCGCCCTATATATATAGATATAGGTCTCTCTATAGGTACAATTACATTAACCCTAACTTCTCTGTAGCGATTCGAAGCAGCTCTACAATGGCGTCGACGACTTTCGATGATCTTCCCAACGAAATTGCAGACCTAATATTCGAGAAGCTATGGACATTCGATCGAGCTCGATCAAGACTCGTATCAAGGGCATGGAACGCCGCTCTGACTGATAAAACTCTCCCTCAGGCAGCTTCCGAGCTTCCATGGCAGATCCTGAAAGCCCAAGGGGATTGTGCACGAAAGCCCAAGGGGGTTATAGATATTGAAAAACCTGGCGGAGGAATACACAGATTCGAATTTCCGGTCGCCGGCTGCTGGCACTGCTGCGGCTCCTCCAAGGGTTGGCTCCTCCTCGGCGGCGGCCGCGACGTTGATGTTTTGCAGACGATGCTATGGAATCCGATCTCCGGCGAGGTTCGGAATCTTCCTTCTCTATCTCCGCTTGATCAATTTTTCCGGCAGACCTCTTTTCGCTATTCTGGTCAGGATTTTGCCCAATTTTATATCTCGAAATTTCACGTCTTCTCCACGGACTCCATCGCGGTCGCCGTCGCCGTCATCTTGCGGGTTCGGGTCGCCGCTCAATTGGTGGTTTGTCGGCCGGAAGACTCGCGGTGGGCGGTGGTGAAGATGAACGCCGGCGACGCCCCTGTGGCGGATATCTTATTTCATGGAGGGAAGCTTTTCGTCTACTGCAATATGCTCAACCCTAACTGCAATATGCTCGAGCCGCCGATACCCCGCGACGTATCTGGAACGGTAAAGGCCTATCTGCAACAACGATCCGCGACGGCGAACCATGTGCTCAACCCTAACGAAGAAGAAGAAGACGACGAACTTATCAGAAACGGCGGCCGCACCGTCGATCTGGATGGCGGCGGCAGCGTGGAATTGGAGCAGCTGACAATGGTGTATGGATCCAAAGCAATTAAAACTCGAAAAATTGACCGTTTCAATCGACTTGTATACGGCGATCACTTGGTGGCGCCGGCTGTGGCGCCGCCGGATAACGGCGGCGAGTTACTGGTGGCGAGCGTCTTGGTGAGGATTACGCCGTGGGACCGCATCGCATTTGGGGGGCTTGAGGTTTGCAAGATTAAGAATGTCGCCGGAGACTTACCGCCGGCGGCGGCGAAGGCGGAGAGCGTGGGGCGGCAGGCGATATTTGTGGGAGGAAAGAGTGAGGCGGTGGCGGTGGCGGTGGGTGATGACGATGAGAAATTGGGGGTTTTTGGCGACGACTTATATTTCATAACTGGAGGTACGATGGAGGAAATGAGGGACGTTTTGGAATACAGAGAAGGAGGAATCAACCTGCGGGGAGGGAAATTATGTGTTAAGTGGAATTATAAGGTTCGGAATTCGGGTGTTAGGAGCAGCGACGTTGGGTGGTTTATGCCCAAACTCCATTGATGTTGAATTAGGGTTAGGGTTCTGTTGCTGCTGCGGCTTCGGGAAGAAGAAGAAGACTGCATTAATTTCAAAATTAGCAGTTGTGATCGCAAAATTTTGTTATTTATTTAATTTTTTGATGCGAGAATGCAATGATACTTTTGTTTTGGTAGTATGTTTGCTCAGTTTTTTAGATAATTATCCTTTTTGTTATGAATTTATAAATTTATATATGACAGAGATTAAAATTAATAAATAAATCAATGGTAAAAATATAAAATTTGTCTTTAAAAAAAAAATAGGACATTGTTGGACTACGACATTAGTAAGGAAGTAATATTTTTAATATTTAATTATTATTTTTAATAAATATGGTGAGCACGATTTATCATTCTTTTGATAATTTTTTTTCTAATTTTATTACTTTATTCGTCCCTTTATTTTTTTTTACGTAGTTTTAGAAATATTAGTTGGGATATAGTAAAAATAAAATAGAAATGACTAAAATAATCTTATTAGTATGTGTGATATAAAGGTAATGACATTTATGTAATATATTGTAAGTTGTAATGGTATTTGTAATGTTAAGTAGATCACGGTTATTAAAAAATGAAATAAATACTTTGTTATGGGACGGAATAGGACGGACTAAAATGGATACTTTGTTATGGGACGGATGAAGTATTTAAATTATGTTGTTTTAAAAAATATATATTTTTTTTTCTCTTACCATTAAAGTATTATAATACGAAATTCAAACTAAATTTTTTCAAAATCAAGCAAAAAAAAAAAACACACCATGTAACAAAGAATATGGCTAGATTTTAAATTATTATTCAAATAAACAAAAAAATCCACCAACTAACAACGCTCCTAATAATAGTTATTTTTACTCAATTATCTCTTTTATCTTTCATCCACATTATATTTATCTATAATAAATCACATTTAACATATTACCCTTATTATTTAATAAAATCACAATAATTTATTTATTTCTATATATTTTTATTATGTAATAATATATATAAATAATTTATTTATTTATACATATTTCTATATATTTTTATTATGTAATTATATTTTAACTTTTAAAATATCAATCTACATAAATTTTAATAATTAAAATTATTTGATAAAAAAAGTTAACATATATATTAATCAAAAATAATATAAAAAAGAATCGTAATATAATATAAACCCATAAAATAAATATATTAACAATATAATTTACAGAATTATTATTTTTATTGTCAAATCATATTCAAGAAAATTGATTAATAAAATCTAAATATATTTATAATAATTTATGTTAAATTTAAATTTTTTTAAAATTTAAAATTTCAAAAGAATTTGAATAATTTTTAATTTGTTTTATTATTTTATTTATTTTTTGTTGAAGATAATAAATTTTAATAACTATATTTCTTATTAAAGTTAAACCGTTTTGTTATAGTAAAAAATAATGATAAAAGGTAAAGAAAGAATGATTGTAACTTGTAATCGAGGCTCTAAAGTCAGCGGAAGTTGTATTAGGTTTTATTTATTTAATATTATTTATTTATTAAAAATTATTATATCAAATATTTTTTTCTACAACAAATAAAATATATTTTTTTTAATATAAATTTTAAGAATTTTAACGTATAAATATTAAATATATTAATTTTTATTTAAATTATATATATATTGTAAAATGGAACCTTTAAAATGGCCCAAGAGTATTTAATAAAATAATATTTTAATAAAAAACTCAAGCATTCGAACTCCATAAAGAAACGAACCGTAAATCCGTAATGATTGAATATTGATGCTATGAGAATTTCATACTATTTATTAAAATATTATTATTTTACGCGTTAAAAGAAATGCTAAGCTACGATTGGCGGTGTAGGTGCGCTCGTCGCAGGGGATCGTAGCCTTCGAACTCAGCGATGAGTCCACGAATGTTTAACAATGGTGGAAGACAGTCCGGGGTCTCCATTTCAGCGTCAGATCTCTCTCAGTCTAGCTGCAGATCCGAGCTCAACTTGATTGCACGCGCCGCCGATGTGTCGATTGAGCTTCCTGATTTCTGCTCTGCCGCTGGCGGCGGCGGCTCTGCTGCTTTGGTCTCGAGCGGTTGACGCGTCGGTGCATGAGTACGCCGGCCAGAAATTCGTCGGAAAAGGAAATGCTTTCGTTGTCCACGGTGGAAGCGAGGGGATTTACTCTTCTGCTCCTGGACTGAATGAATCTTCGCCCGGAGATTCGTTTATACGGTGAATTGAATGAATCCCTTCGCATTGTTGTTATTGCTGTTTCGATTTGTGGAGATCTATGCTGGAAATTGACTTGGAAATTAGCTTTTGCGTCGGTTGGGGCTTAATAGGCAAATGTGAGATCATGCATTAGCAGAGAGCTTAGTCAATGCTTGGTTGCCTGGGCATGATTTTGCTTGCACTTATTGCTGGTTTTGCAGATGATGAAGCATTTCTAGTTACATTAGTTGGTGTGCGAACATAATTTGGATTTTTTTTTTTTTTTTTTATGATCGAATTGTGCCGTAGTTGCTGTTAATTCATCCTCTTTTTGGCGATGTACGAGATTCAGAATCTAGTAGCTGAGTACTGTATGATTTAGATAGTTATTGACTGATACTGAATTTGGATGATCTAGAACTAAAAACTGTATTATGTTCTTGTTTGTGTTTTAGGAATAGCATAAATCGAACTGAAAATAATTGTCAGGGTGTGATGATTTGAAAGGAAAATCAATGTTTGATTTGCCATTTTTCTCTAGGTAAAAAAATAAGTTGCCATTAAATGAATACTGTGAAAATAATTTCGAATGCACAGACAAAATCATTGAAGTTTCATATATGTATCTTGTAGACTGAAATCGATCCTTTCCAAATGGACATTGTAGTCTTGTTGTCTTATCAAAATTTGGACCTGTGAACCTCTTAATGTCAGAGTTTATTGGTTTTTATCTTAACAATGTCTAATCTTGTCGTTGTTGCAACCAGGTTCGATAAGATTGTCTTCCGGAGACCTGAGAAGCTTTCTAACTTCAGTTCAGGATCAGTTTATGCACTTCTGTTTGAGGTTGATGACAGGGAGACAATTGGTGGTTCGGCATATGGAGGTCAAAGAGCTGTGTGCTGCACGGCAGATCTGGCAAAGCTCGGAGTCTGCAAGGAAGGGCAGATCATTCACCGTCCATCTGCTGGTAATCCAGGTTGGCCTCAAGTATTCGGTGCCTCATTTGATATGGATACAACAGAGACTTCTCTACAGTCGACATCTATACAAATTACGAAATCAGGAATGTATAACTTATACTTCATTCACTGTGATCCGAAGCTTAAAGAGGTTGTTGTTGATGGTAAAACTGTCTGGAAAAACCCCACTGGTTACCTGCCTGGTAGAATGGCGCCACTGATGAATTTCTATGGATACATGTCTCTTGCATTTGTGCTACTTGGAATTTTCTGGTTTTCGCAGTACGCCAGATTCTGGAGAGAAGTTCTTCCTCTACAAAACTGTATCACACTGGTTATAACATTGGGAATGTTTGAGATGGCGTTGTGGTACTTTGATTATGCTGAGTTCAACGAAAGTGGAGTAAGACCAACTGGAACAACTATCTGGGCCATTACCTTTGGAACTGTGAAACGTACTGTTTCACGATTGATCATCCTCATTGTTTCGATGGGTTATGGCGTTGTCAGACCTACTTTAGGTGGCCTCACATCGAAGGTTATTTTACTTGGAGGGACTTTCTTTGTTGCATCAGAATTACTTGAAGTGATTGAAAATGTTGGTGCTGTAAGTGATCTCTCCGGGAAAGCTATATTTATATTTGTCCTCCCGGTGGCAATTTTGGATGCTTTCTTCATCATCTGGATATTTACGTCCCTATCTTCGACTTTGAATAAGCTTCAGGTACTTGATTCTCGGTTTTATGTTTATGAATTTAGCATTACTTGGAAGTTGCTTCAATCTTGTTTGGTTTTGTTTCAAAAGGTTGACCGATATTGTCAGTACTTTATATTTGGGTTTTACTGTATTATTATGCCATCCAAATCTTGGTAATAGACTCAAGTAGATACTACTGGTGCTGCAATGAAGCTTATTGATTTGTTGCCTTTTGTGTTTTATAGAAATACATATTTTTCTTGGAATTTCATACTAAAAAGTTACTCCTTTCCTGGTCTGAACTTCGAATAAATTGGTTCTCTCAATGACAATTTCGAAAATTGCACGAATTTGTGACTTGTATTTCCATCTAATTTTTATCAAGTGAAATAACTGGTTCAAGTTCTTGGTGCTTGACATTATCAGGCCAGGAGAATGACTGCCAAGTTAGAGATTTACAGAAAGTTCACGAATGCATTGGCCACTGCAGTAGTTCTGTCTATTGGGTGGATTTTCTACGAGGTAATTTGGTGTAATATCTATTTGTAGTTGAATATCCGTCGTATTATCACTCCCGTATCTGCGGGCTTATTGCTAGATGTTGATCACATCAACTCTGAGAAAGTGTAATGAAATCGAATGAGGTCATTTTATGGGGAGGGATGAAGTTGGTAATATTTATAGTTGTCAGAACAGTCGAAATGGGCAGCTAGTTTCTCAATTAACAAAGACTCTAGACAATGATTAATCAAGCCAAATGGTTATGTGGTATTTAATGGCGACGTGCAGAGTTAATTATAGAACTAAAAAATGTTAAAAGGAAGGTGATTTTGTACATATGTCTTGAATTTGATACCAAATGGCTTTTCCATGGCTTTATTATGCAGCTTCATTTCAAGTCACACGATGTTTACAATGAGCAATGGCGCAATGCTTGGATTATTCCTGCCTTCTGGCAAGTGTTGTCTTTCTCGCTCTTGTGTGTCATATGCGCTCTTTGGGCGCCGTCACAGAACTCAATGAGGTAATACTATCTTGTCCTCAATTCTGGTATTTATTCGTTGTTTCGTGATGATCCAACTTCAAGACAACTTTTTTACTTTTTTTGTCGCTCTAATAATTTCGTTGGTAGATATGCTTACTCTTCCGAGGATCCTGAAGAAATTTTTGACAAAGATGACACTTTAAAACTCATCAAACCAATCCCTTTGACCCCTACGGATGCTGCAACGAGCCCTGACACCAGATCGGCCATGAGTGGCAATGGTTTAACCCATACCGATCTTGAAGAAGAAAAGACTGCATAAGGTCAGATGTATTATATCTGTGCAACTGTAACATTAATTTATAAGGATACCGATCTTGGGAATACATGATTTGTCACCATTCTGTTATAGAAATTACGAGCGGATGGAAAAGGAGTATAGCTAATTAGATTTGTGGAATCTGTCGATCGGGTAGTCCTAGTTTTCTCCTGTCTTGCTTTCTTGCTTGTCACACATCCATCACTGCTGTTTACACATATTTATTCATTGAATTTCATATCTAACTAACAGTTAACAATATGATTTACTGATCTCCGGATCCCCGCGAGCTTTTGGAATCATCTTCATTCGAACTTTCTTGAGTAGAAATGTTTAATCCTGCACTCAACTGCTCATTGCATGTGTAACTTTTGATGATCTGGGAGAACATGATTAGGAAGCTTAGCCCAGTTTTTCATCCCTTTTCGAAGAAACCTGACCGGGGATTCGTATCTTTGTCTATATATACACAGTATAGTCGATTCGCTGTCAATATTTCATCTACTTATATGTGTATGTGTAGATTCTGGCTGATACATCATTTTATATCCTTCATTGATCTCCAATGTCATGACTGCTTTTCCCTGAATAGTTGCTCCCGCGCCCGACAACAGTCAAGTCGTCGCTATACAACGACAGCGCCTGAGCCGTCTCCATGTCCAGAGAACTTCCATCATCGTCGTCATCAGGTACGCTCTCTATCCTCCTTACAGCTTCCGCAATATCTAATCTTTGATCCGGATTACTTTGCGTGCACGCTACACCGATCCGTAGAACTTCCCCCATCTCACGCATACACCTCGCGTCACTAACGATCTCCGGATCGAATATATCACACTGCTTCCCCTCAGCGATGGTCGATCTCGCCCACCGGACTATGTCCACCTCGACTTCGCCATCGCCAAGGCTTGGGGCTTTCCCCGTAAGAATCTCTAACATAACCACCCCTAGGCAGTACACGTCGCACTTTGGCGATACTTTGCGTTGCAGGATAGCCTCGGGCGTCTTGTACGCTTCGAGCCTTTCTCTTGCCTCGCTGCTGCCAACCATCGAACTAAACCCGTAGTCGGCGAGCAACGCCTCGTTTTCGGAGGTTAAAATCACATTGCTTGCCTTGAGGTTCCCATGCGGTAAATCTAGTGAAGAAAACTCAGTATGTAGATAAGCTAATCCTCTAGCAATCCCTTGAACTATCTTCAACCTCGCAGACCAATCGATTCTACCGTTCGTCAGTTTCGTCCCGTGTAACGCGAAGCGTAAGCTCCCTCCGGGCCTATGCTCGGAGATCAAAAGCTTCTCGTCGTGACGGTAGAAGTAAGCCAACGGCGACAACACGTTGCTGTGGCTTAAACTCCCGAGTCTCTTCATCGCTGCGTCGAACTGTTCCCTGTCCATTTCGTTCATCTCTCTCGTCCGTTTAACCACCACTGTCGTCCCGTTCGCCGTTGTCACCTTGTAGGAACACCCGAGTGATCCATTCCCGAGCATCTCCGCCGTTGCTCTCATCAGATCGCTCATTTTAAACTCGCCCGCGCCGTCGCGTACCATCACTATATCACTCCTGACATTCGTTGATTCCTTCCGGCCTGACCTTCTCACGGCCGTGCTTGGATTATGTTGTTCGTCGTTTGTCACCAATGACGGTCGCTGGTTAAGCGAGTTCTCGGCGAGCATCTGTTGTTCCCTGTTCCTTCGCTTCAGCGTAACTATCCCGACTATCATTCCTGCGAAAACTATTCCGGCGGGCATCAGCGCCCATAGAAACTCCAGCTGCGATGAACTCTGTTTCCCCCCGTTCGGCGTCGGCGACGACGATGAAAGCCTGCAGACCGTGCCGAGACTCTCGCCGCACAACCCGGGATTCCCGTTGAACGAATCCAAGCTGAACTTCAGCATGGTCGACGGGATTTCGCCCTCCAACTTATTGTTCGAGATGTTCAACGAAACCAAACCCGGCTGGGTCAGCCGAGGAATCACCCCCGAAAACTGATTGTCTTCGAGATGCAATTCCGTCAGATCGGACAAATCACTGAGCGAGGATGGAACCGAGCCGGAAAACCCATTCCCCGATAGCCAAACCTTCTTCAACCTGCTCAATCCGGCGAAATAATCCGACGGGATCTCGCCGGAGAACTGGTTCCTCGACAGGAACAGCCCTCTCAAATTCCCCATCCGATGAAAATTGGGGATCGGCCCGGAAAACCCATTCGACACGAAGCTGACAAGACGTAATTTAGGTAGGGAAACCAATGCATCGACGTTTATCGTACCCAATAGACCCAAATGCCCGAGCCGGAGCCCGGCAGCCGTGCCGTCGACGCACACAACACAAGCCCATTCTCGGCCTCGACTGCACGGCTCGGTCCCAGGCTTCCATGAGTCGAGCGCGGTTGTGTTCACGAACGAGTTCTTGAGCTTGAGAAGAGCTTCGGACTGAGAAATCGAGCTCGATGTCGAAAAATTGACGAGAAGAAGATAGAAAATTATGGATGATGATCCAAGAACATGAACAATGGCCATAGGAGAAAGAAAAAAAAAAAAAAAAAAAAAAAAAAAAAAAAAAAAAATTAATAAAAGGCGAAATAATTAAGAAATTAAATTGCTTGCTAAGATTCTATTTTTGGCTGTTGGGACCGTTGGTCTCAACTGCTATAGTCATGCAAGAAGTTGCAACTGTAATAACTACCCACCTTCTCGTCTTTTCTTCGTAGCTTGTAGTAGTTCTTATTAAAATTTTATATTTCTTTAGTAAAAATATTACATATTTATAATGATATAATTTGGCCAGTAGGATAGGATTGACAATGAGTCGACTATGGCTCTAGTCCAGTTGCACCCAAATCTGACCCGAATTGAATTTGATCATACTTCGACTTGATTCGAACAATACTTGACAAATTTGATAGGTTCTCTATATCCGAAAAATCTTTTATAATTCTTAAAATTGAATTTAAAATTGGATCTAAACAGATCCGGATCTAACATATATTAAAATTTATATATTTTATTTAAAAATATTACAATAAAATAATAAATAAAAATTAATTAAACTAAAATTATATTTTTAATATAACTTATATTATTAAAAATAAACATATATATAAGTAATATATAAATCGGGTTTAGGTCGGGTCCACTTTCAGACCGGACCAGACCCGATAAAGGTACACAATATCCCACTTGGATCTAGACTCAATATCTGAATAATTAAACCCGACTATAAATAAATAGGTCGAATTTATATCACTAGATGGACCGGAAGTAATATAGTTCATTAATGAATAAGTTCATGGACAGTAGGAACATTACAACACAAGTTTATTAACGATCACATCGATCCAACGATTGTCAAAAAAAGTTGACAACATATTTCACAACATAACTTAATAAAAATTGGTAACCAAGAAACATGAATTTAAATTCAAATCTGAGACTTTCGACTTTCCAGAGCTGATGCTGCAGAATCGACATGAACAAGCAAGCAGGAATAAACCTTTTGCTTCAATCTCTCGACACTTTCCTCAATCTGATGATCAATTTTTTCGACGGCGGAGTTCGATTCGCTCCACCGCACCTTGTCGAGCCACTCATTGGCCTGTTTCAGCAGCGACAGCGTCACCGCAATGTGGTTGTTCTGCTCGATGACTCTCTCTTTTCCGTTCCTGGCTTCGCCGCCGCCTCGAAAGCCTATTTCGAGCGATCGATCCAAGAAATCGAGAAACCACGATTGCATTTCGTTCGAAAGAATCCTTTTTACTTCCGCGATTTCTTTCCCGCCGTCGCCTTTCGCCCATTCTAGCTTATCATTATTCGTACATTGCGCCGAGGCTGTAAAAGCGCTACGGCTCGTCGATCTACCATTCGATTTTTTCGCTGATTTGTAGATTTCGTTGTCTTTTGGAGTCGAATTTGTTAGTAGATTGTCCCAAACATCCTTCGTCGGGATGGCTACTTCCGACGTTTCGATGAGCTGGTCGAGCGTGAAGAACTTCGGGAGGTAGAAATGAGGATTTTCAGGAGATGCCGACGAGTAGAGTTCCGCAAACAAACTGAAAACAGGGCAATCCAAAATGAGTTTAAATCAAAATTACGACAGAATTTTACGTGGAAAACTACCTCGCCTTATCGTAACATACCCGAGGCACTTGGCGAGATTCGCCGCGACTTTCGCTTCCTTTTGCGCTTCAGCCGCGGCCAACAAAGCTAAATTTCCCGATCGAACCATTCCCTTAAAAAAAAAAAAAAAACACGACAAAAAACATAGATAACTTTACAACCGACATTAGGGGTGTGCCGATTATAAAGTAATTTTTTTTAAAAAAAGATATAATATATATAATCTTAAATAAAATAATTATTTGAATTCGAATTCGATAAATCCGAATTAAAAAATGGTAAAACCAAATTCAAATTATTTTCAAAAATATTGAATTCGGCATATCCGAATATCTTTAAAATTACCAAATTACCGAATTTGAATTTTCGAATTTAATTCGAATTCGGTCAATAAATAAAAAATCAGTAATTTTGCACACCCTGACCGAAACTCAGACATGAGTAACGCGTACCTTCCCGGGCTTGAGAAGCGCAGCCGGGAGACTTGACCATGATATTGTGTCGGGACACGGCTTTTTGGCGCTATTAGGCGCCCGAGGCTTCGACGGCGCCACGCCCAATTTGGCGCTCAAAGAATCCGCGTCGCACGGCTACAATGTAGTATTAATAACACTTAGCGACAGCGCGTAATAAAACCAACGAAACGCGTCGAATAAAAAACCTCGTACCTGAACTTTCGACTCCTTCGTCTTCTTCTTCGACATCTCGACCTCCGTATCCGTCTCTCTCCCCGAATCGGGCCTCTGCTTCACCACACCCTGCATATACCGCGACGCGACGCCGGACTTCTCCTCCTTAATCACGATCCTTTTCTTCACACTCTCGTCCTCACCGTTACTCTTAACATTTTCTTGATCGCCGTCTTCTTTCGGGGTTGTCAGAAACTCCGACGATTCGAGCAGCTGCATGAGATCCTTAGGATATGTTTGTTCGTGGGTTTTAGTTTTTGGGTTTGAATTTTCGAATAGTAAAAAGTTGAATTTGAATAGTTGTTTGATGTGATATAAATAGAGTTTGATATGATATTTTGAATGTAAAATAAATTTGTAATATAATTTAAAAAGAAAAATAATTGTTTAATACGACCCACACAACTTGTGGTAAAACCCACAAAAGAACACAACCTTAGGGTTTCCGACAAATGCGTGCCGTCCCGGGACGGGTCTGACGCCGACGAGAACGGGGACCGGCGTGCCCGACTCGATCCTATCGACGTAGAAGAACTGCCCGAGCTGGAGCTTGTTGTTGAGGATGAGGTCGGTGTCGGGTTTCGAGAGGGAGACGTACGTCGAATGGGATGAATCGGAGATCTTGATGAAGAAGCCGTGGTCCGGCCATAGCTCCGATCCCGATATGGCCGGGACAATGCTGATTACTTGTAATAAGACCGAGCGGTGCTCGCCGCGAACCCGGTGGTTCGAATTTATGGCTCGGAGGAGCTTGATCAAGACTCCTGGCACGAGTGCTGCCATTTCGAACGCCGAATAGTGTCGAAAAAAACCAATTTTTTTTTTTATTTATTTAAAAAAAATAAAAGGAAGCTTTAGGGGAGGCTAGAAGGATGAGGAAGAAACAAACATGGTGGAGGACATGAATGTGTGAAATCTTGGCATGAGAGGGAAGTAATGTAATGTTGTGACAAATGAACCTTTTTTTCTTGCCTTTTAAGCCAAGAGATCCTACAAGATGGGTCCTTCTATATGGTCATGAAATTACGATTATGCCCCTCCTTTTGATAATATATTTGGGCCACGCATGAGTTGGTTGATTCAAATCTAATCTGACTTTTTTATAAAGTACAAAATAAATTTAAGTCAACTCGTGAGTTTAAATGAAAATTTAGAAGCGTGGGGTGTGTTATTGAATAGGTTTTTGGTAGGTTTGCTGAATACTTTGTCTGCATTTTTTTTATTTTTTTTCCACCAAATTTCTCGTACTTCTAAAACTGCGTTAACCTCCTCGTGATTTTATAAACTTTGCGTCTAAGCTACTCAGTGGTCCTTATTTAACGATATTTGACTTAAATGCGCTCAAACTGCGAATAAATTTTAGAATCTCAATTTCTAAACCCCTAAAATTACTAATATATTTATTTTTTTATATATATATTTAGCATAAAAAATAGTAAATATACTAAAAAATAGTTATTTTTTAAGGTTTTAAGAATATTTTTACTATTTTTTTAGGCTAAATATATATATATAAAATAAATATATTTGTAATTTTAGAGGTTTAAAAATTGAAATTCTAAAATTTATTCGCAGTTTGAGCGTATTTAGATCAAATACTGTTAAATAAGAACCGCTGAGGGGATTAGACACAAAGTTTATGAAACCACGAAGAAGTTTGACGCAGTTTTAGAAGTATAAAAGATTTGGTACAATTTCATAAAATCACGGATAAATTTTGTGCAATTTAACTACATTCTTTTAGTTGTACCTTTTTGTTTATTTTAATAACGTTTGAATCCGTAGTTATTACTCTTCAAAAGCTAAAAAAACTTTAGCCGAACATAAATAAAATTAAAGATTGAAAAATACGCATTAGGTAAATTTCCAACTAAACGACAATAATCTATACCGTTAGGTCATCTTACGTAGTGATTATAATTAATCAACATTACGTTGACAACATACATCATCAATACATGAAAAATGAATTAATAAAATATGATATATGCTAATATTATACGTATAGAATACATTAGACAATAATTTACACAACAAACAAAATATATATACAAACCATGTGTTAGTATTTCTTACGTCTATTTTCTAATGTTTTAATTGATATTTACACGTATTTTTAGACAATTATTTTTATTTTATTTTTTTTTTTTTTTGTATAAAATGATAAATTTATCCTTTATTTTGTATATAGAAAAAAAGATAAAGAAAATAAAAATAAAAGAATAAATTTTATATATAAATTTCAAATAAAAAAATAGAAAAAACAGAGGAAGGGTAGAAATGGAATTTGGTGGTGAGGAAATGGTTTAACTTTCAGAGGGTGGGTAGGATAATTGTAATTATCTCATACATTCATTACATATGATAGGTTTGTCCTAACAAATTTCTTAGAATAGACTAGACTCTAATGATGATGATGACGGCTATACTGTCACTATATCATGTCCCTATCCTTCATAACATATACTAGCTTATTCAAAAATTAATTAATTAATTAATTAATTAATTACTAGTAGTTTGTTCGACTCACTGGCCGACACACCGACACGGGCGTGTCGAAAACATGTGTATTTTCTGTTAGGTAAATAAGTGCATAATCAAGGAATAAAACAATGTCATAAAAACATGTCATAGACAATCTGAGTTCCTATACGATAAAACTGCAATGGTTTCTCAGAAAAAATAAACAAAAAGGTCTAAAAATGCAACCAGTTTTCCTCAAATACCTCTCAAGATGCTCACAAAGTTAGATAACATCTTCAACAATTCATACATCACTTCATCGTCCAGGTATTGCGGCGCGAGTCGATGCCTGTAAGTACCGAAATAAACAAGAATAAGAACACGATCAATATGTATGTGTCCGAATAGAAGAGCTACATATATAAATTGTACCTCATGCGAAACGACAGGAACATTAGTTGGAGCATAGTCGAAAGACCATGGATCCATAGTGTTTCCGGATTCTTGACCTGCATTTCCATTGATAAAAGCTTCAATCGAGGCTTCCCAGTTGTTCTCAATGTCGGGCATCTGAATAAGTTTCATCTGGGATTCAAACTCTGAAAGATTTTCAGGCAGTTTGTTTGTAGAATCGGTGTTACCAATCACAAAATTATCAGAAACTGGAGTTTCTTCAGTCTTGCCAGGAAACTCGGCTTGATTATCCTCGATGATGGCTGAGAGAACAGACGATATATCAGGGGTCTTGACACAGTTATCGCTCCAGCCGTAATCAGAACAGTCTAAAGAATTGCTCCCTTGATCAGAGCTGAACTGAATAGAAGAGACATCATTGGCGACAAACGGTTGTGCTCCTATATCAACAAACCCGTATTGATTCACCGGTTTTTGATCCACAAACCCCCAAGAATTGTACAGCTCGCCATTCGGCATGTTTCCAAAGCTCATATTTTGGGTCAAGACAGGGTCGACAGTAGTTGGGACATTATTAGGAGGCACTGTTGTAGAGTCTGATTTATTAGAGGGTGGAACTTCATCAGGGAAGTTTAGCTTAGCTTTCTTGCCTCTAATCTTTCTTGCTTCGACATCATAGGCTCTTGCAGCTTCCTCAGCTGTGTTAAAAGTACCTAGCCATACACGCGAACCTTTCCTCGGATCACGAATCTCAGCAGCCCATTTACCCCATGGACGCTGTCGAATCCCCCTGTATATGTTCTTTCTTTGCCTTTTCAAAGGCTTTTCAGCATCCTCGTTAGATACAACAGAATCAACAGACTTCAAACCTTCAAAAGAGATAGATAACACCTCCATGTGAAATGGATGGTTACTAAGCTATAACATCAATTGATACAAAATGCTCATAGGAAGGAAAAAACATCAAACCTGAAACTTTAATAATAACCTATGTGTTCATGGAGAGAAAATTGCAGATCAAAAGCAATATATGAAAGCAAAACCGAACGGTTTCGGATAGAAGAACAAAACATGAATTTCCAACAATATATAACTTAATCTGTCTCAATTGAGTATAAATAAAATCTACCTCTAGATAACATCAATAACATGAAAATTCAGAGTATCTTTGATCATGTAAACTAGAATTATTCCAACAAATTTCTTTCGAGTTAAGAAGTCTGAGAGATTTCAAGTTTAACCTGAAAGCACTAAAGAAAACCTAACAAATTCGTCCAACGTATTCTTTCAATTTCTTTACACGTATTCCTTCAAGATCTTCCGAAATGGAGAACAGAAATTAAAAAAATAAACACCTCAATCCAAAATCACATCCTAACGGAGAGCAATAAGTTTTCATAAACAAACTTAAGAAGCAAAAAACACAAACAAAAACTTCATCGTCGAAACTTAAGGTAATAATTAATCAATCACCGCTGAGAAAAATTGTTTCAACCTCAACATTTCACTAATAAATCTAGAAAACAAAGCATTAAATGTAGCAAAAAGTTCATTGGAAAAAGCATGTTCATTACCTTTAGAGCCAGGATTTTCAGAGGTAGAGCGAACCAGCTTCTTGTTCACCTCGATTCCTCCGTCATCGTCGCCGAATTCTTCAAATTTCCGAAAATCAGCTTCAAAATCGTCGTACGAATCAACGATCGGCCGAGTCCTCATCGGCTGCGAGACAGAACTCTCACGATTATTCTTGTTGCCCAGATCTCCGGCGCCGCGGCCCCATAGCAGCTCGGCTGTAAGCCGACGTGATGATCGGCTAACCAGAGGATCAAAATCCGAAATTATAGCTCCCCCACACATTTCGAGCACAGGTGTTTTTTTCTCGCTGCGTTTTGCAGAGAATTCAGTGTTTTATGAAGCGAACGCAACGAGGAAGACGAGGGTGGCTTAGTCGGCGGAGATGCGAGTTTACAAATCTACCCCTAAAATATAGATACAGCGTAGCTAGACGCGTATTAATTGACAAAAGTGCCCCTCATTTTGATATATAAATGAAATCTGCGTAATAAATTAAAGAAAATTCTAGACTTGAAAGTCAAAGTAGTCAAAGAGAATCTGAAAAATACCAACAGATCCTACGGCTGACCCCAAAGTAATCTAAAAAATCCAACGGCCCAGATAGAGTGCCAAGACACATGGCCCAAACTTTGGAAAATAAATTATTGTGTCCAAATAGAATGGGTTGGATGCACAAGGAACGTTATATACAAATTTTTTATGAAAGAATGTATTAAATATTTCTTATTTTTATTTTAATTTATATATCATATTAAATATGAAATATTTTATTATTTTCAAAATTTCACAAACTTCACCTTAACTTTATACTAAAGGGTCGGTTTTGAAGTTTAAAAAATGACAGTGATAAGTTAACCAGCTAATAAGAATATTTAAAAATAATATGTTATATAATTCCTTAATTAGCAACTTAAAAGACATTAAATAATATTCTATTAAATTTTAATTAATAAAAATTTATGACTTCATAATTATCTGTTGTTCCATAACAAAGTATCTATTTTCTTAACGGTAGATAAATACCCTTACAACTTACAATATATTACACAAATGTCATTACTTTTATATCACACGTACTAATAAGGTTATTTTAGTCATTTCTACTTTATTCTTACTGTATCCCAATATAATACTAATATTTCTAAAACTACGTGCAAAAAGCTAATGGATGTTTAGTTCCGGAACTGAGAGAATACTATATTACAAGAATAGCTAAAATATTTTTCATTGTTTAAATTAAATCTACAAATATTATAAGAATAGCTAAAATATACTTTTAATTTACATCAAATATATTTTATGTTATTAATCATAATATATATAGTAATATACTTATATAATATAAACTATTATATTAGCATACACTATAAGTTTATACACTAAATTTATATTATATTAAATTTCCATTGCGCAATATTACAAATCCAAAAATTTTTTTTTAAAAAAAAAATGATAACGAAAAAGGGAAGCCTTCATTTCAAATGAACCGCCCCAACTACGAGAAAATAACTCGATTTTTCTGCTCCGGGAACCGGCGGTGGGGAAACTCCCCAAATTCTCCGCCGACGTCACCTCCGCCGCCGCCGCGACAGCGCTGCAGCCGACATGGAGCGGCGAACATTTTCTGAGCAGAGGTTTCGATCTCCTTCATCTCGTCCATGTAAATTTGCGAGTCTCTACACTCCACGCTACAAAACCCCAAATTACCCCTGCAATAATTTCAACAATTAGCCCTAAATTCACAGAGCTGAAATCAAATTGAAGAAATATTGTCGAAATTAGGGTTTTGGTTGATGTAATAATCGACATTCAACGACCTGTACATGTAGATTTCTCTGTCGAGCCTCAGAGGCTTCCGGCAAAGATGACACGATTTGAGGTAGCAGCCGAAGTGATGATCGTCGGAATATTGGGTTGTCGGAGTCATGGATTTGATGACAACTTTGGAACTGCCATGATTTTTGAGGATTAATCTCAGCCCTTCGTCTTCGTCGTCGGAGACTCTGCAAGAACCGCCGTGTTTATGGTTGTTCCGAAATAATGAAGACCGCATTGTCGTGTGGCTTTCTGTGACTGTATCTATATATGTATATATACATGTGTGAGTGTGTGAAACTGTGTGCTTGATGAGATTCTGTGTGTGGAGGAATCGTAATCTGTGTGCCAACTTGGGGGCGGATATTGAAATATTGAATGGCTATGGAGGAAACGGCGTCGTTTTGGGGATCTACCTAATATTAATAATAATAATGTCACATAGGAATGTCAAATGGAGAGGAATAGCCCGAGCCATCCCGGATCCGGTCTTAATGGGGCGGCTTCGGGTCTAAAAAAAAATTTGGTTTGTGATGGGTTATGGATTTTGAATTTTAAACTCGGCCGGGTTTGGGGCGGTTACGGGTTTTACTATAAACTCGTCTCATCCCGGATCCGAACCCGAATATTTTAATAATTATTATATTCTCTCCGCCCCATTGAAAAATTGTCATTTTTCATTTTCGTCCGTCCCAAAACAAGGTTATTATTTCCTAATTTAGTAATTGTACTGTTTACTTAAGATAATAAATATTCTTTCAACTTGCACTATATTACACAAATACCATTACTTTTATATTACACAATACTAATAGGGGTATTTTCGTCTTTTCACTACAACTCATTATAATACTAATATTCAAAAATTTACGTGCAAAAAGTAAACAACAACATTACACCGGAGGAAGTAATTTATTTATATTTTTATACAATATATATTTATTTATTTAAAAAATTTTAAATATAAAATAGAACTTTAAATCTAAATCAAATTTATATTCACCTTTGTTTTTCTACAATTCTCTTTATTATTGGGACTACTAGTCATCTATGGACTATTATCAATATTGATTGTTTATATTTTCATAACTATAATTTTTTTGGTACATTGAAGCATATTTTGTTAATATTAAATTATTTTTTAAAAGTTTATTTAATTTTTTTCTTAAAAAAAAACGAATTTGTTGGATTGGCCCCGAATCCGGAGAGTTCGGGGTGGGGCGAGTCTAGGGGCCGAATTTAAGCGGGACGGGACGGGTATTGGGTCCTAAGATTTTCTAGCGGGACGGGTCTCCGAGTCTGCAGAACCCACCACGTTGACATCCTAAATTGTCACATTGTGTGTTTACTTGTGAAATTTGATTATAAAAATTTTACTGTTTCAATTTTTTTTTTCATAAAAATCAAATCAAACACCTGTATTTTATTTATTATATTACACTAAAATTTAATTTTACATTAAAAAAATCTCATTAATACATATTTATGTCAAATCAAAGACATATTTCAATTCAAAATTTTATTATTTAAAACTAAAACTCAAAATACAATGTATCTTACAAATAACACACTTTATTTTTTTATTAAATTTTTTATATAATTTATTTATAATAAATAATTTTATATATTCATAATTCTTTATTCTTAATATAACAAATAATAAAAAATTATTGCTACTTTTTCACTTATTACACTATTTTATTATTAATTTTTTAATAAATTTTTTATAATAGTATTGTTTTACTTTTTATCTATTTTATTTTTATATTGAAATATTGTTACTAATATTTCTTAGTCTCCAACGTTTGTAATATAATTAAGGCATAAGAAATATTACTCCATCGGTCCATTTGAAAGAGGCATTTGGAGGTATATATAAAAAGTTTTTGATCAATTTTTTTTATTAAAAAAAATTGATACTTTTTATTGAAACAAATAAAATAATTAAAAAAATACTTTAATATAACGAAAGGAATATATCTTTTGTTTTTAATGTATTTTTATTTTTTAAAATCTTTATATTTAATTATCTTTTAATACAAATACAAATATATAGTAATATAATATATATATATATATTTTTTAACTCGATTAAAAAAATTAAAATTTTATTATTTTTACATTATTGAAATATATTTTTCTAATATTAATATTTTGCATTGAAATATTAGAGTTTTTGAAATTTTAAAAATAATAATATTTGATACGATATTTAAAAAATAATTTTAGAATATATGGAAACAAACTTAATATTTTAATAAAGTTGAAGTATTGTATAAATATGAAAAATGAAATATCTATTGTTGAAATACTCTTTGTGATTAATGTATAGATTTATTACATATATATTTAAAAATATTTCAAGGATTATGTTGAATTATATCTATATTATTATAGTTTATATTTATGTTTTTATACATAAAAATATTACATATATATCTAAAAAAAATATTTTAAAAAAATAGTAAACATAAGACAAAATCACTAGCCAACACACCTTAGAATTCAAGTCTCGAAGAAATCAATAAAAATACAACGTAATAATTCATACAATTTGGAAAATAAATACAAAAATTTGCTCACCTTTTGACTATCTTTCTGAGTTTTCAAAGGCATAACAATAATAATAATAATAATAATAATAATAATATTTATTCTCGCACATTTTTTCAAAAAAAAAATTAATACTCTTTCCGTCTCAAAATTATAGTCTGGATTATGTTTAGCACGAGATTTACAAAATACTGATATTATATTAGTAGTAGGTAAAAAGTATGGATAAATTTTTTTTTTGCTCTTGTGAGTGTATTAGTGTAAAAAGCAGTGACAATTGTGTAATAATAATGAAAAAGTAAGAGTAGTTTTACAGTCATATGATTATTTATGGAAATGAGACTATTGTTTTGGGATAGACCGGTAAACAAGACTATTATAGTGAAAAGGAGGAAGTATATTATATAAATTTATTATTATTATATTTTATACACAATTTCTTATATTTCACATCAATAAATAAATAAATAAATAAATCTTTCCAATAATTTCACAAAACAAACACACCATAAGTATGTACTTATTTTTTTTCTTTATTATTAGATATAATATTTTATATAAAAAAATAATATATTTTATCAAAAATTATAATAAAAATAAAAATAAAAGATATTCACAATCTTAGAGTGAGAAGACCAAAAAGAACCACCAAAGCCATAATGAGGCAATGATCAACATTAGGCTCCACCACCATTGCCAAAACATCTTCTCCCAATACAATTCCACCTTCACTTCTCTTCCTCTTCACCTACACACATTAATTTATTTAAAATATAATACTCAACTTAATATTTATTTTTCATCTAAATCATTACATAAAATATTAATTCAAAAATAAATTCTACTCAAACTATTATATCAAATATATTTTCTATTTAAATTTTTATTATTTTCAAAACAATTACCCTATAAATATGACTAAAATCCATTTTTTTTAAAGAACCATTCTTGGGTTTGTTTGTTTATATTTTTCCAAGTTTGAGACACTCTTCATCAATTTAATGACTTTCAAAAACTCTTATCAAATAAAACTATATTCCTAGTGTAGTTTTAATTTTCTTTTAAAAAATTTTAATAGCTGGTACGTAGAAGTCTAAAAGAATTTTTTTTTTTTTTAATAATAATAAAAAAAAGATTTTAAGTACCTCGGCGAGAGTTCTTCCAAAACCATCGATAATTCGGCAATAAGGCTTAGATCTATGATGTTCCATAACATATTGATCGCAAGGATGGTCTATGTTGTCCGCTCTTACTACAACCTTGTAAAATGACAAACGCTTAAAGAATCCAAGAATCATCTTAATCCCCTTAATTTTTCTTACCCAAAAGCGCGGTTTCTCTTTGTCGACACCCCTACAATCCGATCCATAGCCCTCCCACCTCGCCATCAAACCAAAACTCTAATTGAAAAAACAGAAGAAAGAAATTATTAGAAGCAACGATAAAAAAAACATAAATTCAGTCTGTCCATTCAGCGTTTTCAGGTGAAATGAATTTTTTTTTTTGTGGTACGAAAAACTGTGTTGGTAATATAAAAAATAATATTTTGTATTGAATTGTTGACTTTTTATGAACATATGATATATATATATTATATTAATATGTATATTAATATTTTTTAAATAATACTTACGAAAAATTGTTTCTTTGACAAATACTGAGTGAACAGAATCATTGTAAAAATGACTGGAATCTTTTTTCTTTTTTTTTTTTAAGAAAAAGAAAAAGTACCCTTTTGATAATTGTGAACAAAACATCGCCGGCGAGATCCATGAGGAGGACGCGGTGGCTACACTTGCGACCGTAGTTGTCGACACGGTAGGCGATGCGGCCGGTGGAGTCGAAGGCGGCGCAGCCGTTGCCGTTGATGATCAGAGACTTCATCCACAGGGTGAAGAGTTGCTTTTCCGATGAAGTGGTGATTGTGGCACCCGCCTGAGGATGAACTTTCGATGCCATTTTTGTATGTATTTAGAAATATTGTGAATGTTTCGGAGTTTCCTAGGTTCTTTGGGGATAATTTGATTTCTTGTATACACCTTGGGGTTCTATATATTTATATATATATATAAATGGGTATCACTCGCATATGCATTAAAAAATATTTTCTTCGTCCGAATAATATCACTGCAAAAAATAAAAAAAAAAAAAAATAATATATTTGTAACGGATTTTTGTTCCTAAATTTCATGTAACTAACGTAATTTCATTATTAATTACGTGTCTGATATCGTTAATAACGGAAAAAGTAAATTTAAAAACGAAAAAATTTTATTACAAAAATGATATTTTTTTGCGGTAATTATTCTAATATATGTAATTATTTTTTCATTTTTGTCTGTCCGATCCAAATATATCAATTTTATTTTTTATTTTAATAAAAAAATACATGTTTTACATAATATTACAAACTATGTCACTAAAAAATAGATAGATTTAAAGACAAACTTGTAATTTTATCTTTGTACTTGTTATCTATGAAATACTAATATACTAAAATTTACATTAAAAATAAAAAATAAAAAATTCAGATAGATATGTATAACTCAAACGAATTACCAAAATTTACAATCAATATATCTATTTCACAATTTAGTAGGGTGTGTTTGTTTGGGGGTTTGGATTTTGAGTTGGGATTTGAATAGTAAAAATTTTGAATTTAAATAGTTGTATGATGTGATATAAATAGGTGTTGATATGATGTTTTGAATGTAAAATTAATTTTTAGTATAATATAGAAAATGAAAAATAAGTGTTTGATTTGATGTTTTGGGGAGGGGGGAAATGGGATGAATAGTGGATATTAAATCCAATCCCCCAAACAAACAAACCCTAAGGATTTGTGTGAATTTCTACTATTCACACAAATTTTTTTTTCCAAAACATCAAATCAAACACCTATTTTTTATTTTTTATATTATACTAAAAATCAATTTTAAATTCAAAACATCACAACGATACGTATTTATATCACTATCATACAACTATTCAATCGAAATCCAAACATAATTTACAGACACTAATAAAATATTCATATATTTTATTTAAAATTTGAGTCATACAATTTTATACCAATTATACATATGAGGGTATTTTAGTTGATATATTATTACACACTAAAGAATATATAAAATGATTATCTGGTTGGGATGAACTTGTGATTACGGAAAAAAAAAAAAAGATTTTAATAAAAAAAAGACAAATAAAAAATGTTAAAGAAGAACACACAACTACATTGATTTTAATCTTATTATTATTCACATAATGTCTATTTTTATTTTATTTTTGCATGAAACTACAAGATCAATATCAATACTACCACCTAATACAAATCAAAATACAATCTTGCAATATAACACAATAAAAAATTTAATACTAAAGTATTAATTATTTCTGTTTATAATTTGAATCGTTGATTGTTACAGCGATGAACGGCTGAGATGAATTTGGGCAATAAAATTTAGGACCTAATCCACATTATAACCCGATCTCTACTTTACTCCATTAATCTATTGGGCCCCAATTATTAGGCCCAAATCTCAATCTCGGATCCATATAAGGTCCGGGTAGCCCGAATACCCACCCGCGTGTTCAACCGCTGCCTTGTTCGACAAGAAGGGAAGCTCTTACGCCATATAAAACCCAGAAGAAATCCTCTTCGTGCTCTGAATCTTCGTCGTCGAAATCTAGGTGAGCCTGATCGAAGTTCCTTTGATAGTCCGTCCGTATCTAGCACTTTCATTATTGATTTAATCACCTTGCAGGCTAATTCCGAAATTCTCATTGACCGGGATCGGAAATGTTCCTCACAAGGTAAGCTTGAATTTGCGTTCTGTAGTATGATATTGGCGTGTCGGAAGGATGTTTGATGAGTAATGTGTGAACATTTGTTACTGATTCAAGGACTGAGTATGATAGAGGAGTAAACACGTTCTCACCAGAAGGACGATTGTTTCAAGTTGAATATGCCATTGAGGCAATCAAGGTTTTTATTTCAATATTTCACGTGTGCAATAAATTGTTCGTGGGTTCTTTTTGTGTGTTGATTTGGTTGAAATCCGTTGATTTTTCCTTGTAGTTGGGCTCGACTGCAATTGGCATAAAGACTAAGGATGGAGTGGTTCTTGCAGTTGAGAAGCGCATTACATCGCCCCTCTTGGTATGTTCAATATGTTATTTTGAGGAGCCTCGCTTGTTGATTTTATTGCTCTTTTGTATAATTTTAAATTTCATGTTTCGGTTGCATGAATTTGGATTAAATCGTATTTGAAATATTTTCAGAGTTCAAATTCATTCTTTGGCCTTGTTTGTATTTGAATAAGTATTTGAAAAATGCGTTGTTAAAAAAGATTTGAAATTTCGAAGGTTGTAGTTCTATATTTATTGCAGATCCAAATGAAAGTAATGGACTTTAAGGATTAATTTGAAATTCATTATATTTGAATCCATCGAAACAAATATTCCAAAGGTTTGTTTATATTTAACTGTGGCATTTGCTTGTGTTGAATGTTTTGATTGTAATTTAACCTATGGCAATGGGCGGCAGGAGCCTAGCAGTGTTGAGAAAATTATGGAAGTCGATGAGCATATTGGTTGTGCTATGAGTGGATTAATTGCTGATGCTCGAACACTGGTTGAACATGCTCGGGTTGAAACTCAGGTGCTTCTCCGAAATGGATGCTGTATGTCGGTCTAGTATGTTTTGAGCAGTCTTCAATTACTAATGCCGTGCTTTTGCCTTTTGTAGAATCATAGGTTCTCGTATGGCGAGCCCATGACTATTGAGTCAACTACTCAAGCAATTTGTGATCTTGCACTGCGATTTGGTGAAGGAGACGAAGAATCAATGGTTAGCCCTTTGCTCCTCTGTAAAAATATACCTTCTAATGTTACATTCAATTAGCAAGTCTTTTCGTTTAGTTAAGAAAAAGAAAATGAAGAACATGGTTGCTTCTTAGACTCTAATTCTTGGACATTTTGTCCCGGAAAGACGTCCCTATCGTTGTGTGCCTCACCGGAGTGAAATGTTCTGTAGAAATTGCAAATGATTGAGTCTCAGTGATTATAGTGCTGAAGACGATCTAAAAATGTGTGTTAATACAGTGGATTTGTTCGTCATTCTCTCTTCATTTGACCTTATATGATATATCTTTGGGAAGATGAAGTTTTGAAATCTTTTGGTTTTTCTTCTAACTTTGGATTTCATGATTCTGATGCAGTCGAGACCTTTTGGTGTATCTCTGCTGATTGCTGGTCATGATGAGAATGGTCCCAGCCTGTGAGTATTTCTTCAATTTTAACGACGATGTGCTATTAGTTGCTTTTCTTATTTCACGAAACAAATTGCCACTTTGGTCGCCATCCTAATGTTGCGATTATGTTTAGTAAAGGTTTTGAAAATTTAAGATGAACAATTCAATGCTTGCTGAATACTGAGACCGGAAATGATTTGGTTACAGAAAAATCAGTGCTAAATGGGGTTTTTGTTATGCCCGGTATTGTGGTGTTTACTATATTTTCTTTAATCTGTTTTGACACTAAATACATTTTTGAAAAATGGTTCTCAATGCGAAAGAAATAAATTATTTGAGTCCGACATTAGTCCTGAAACTTTAAGTTGTGTTGCGTTTCACATTGCAAGTTATTTCCTTATTACTGAAATACAATTGTTTGTCGAACACAGATACTACACTGATCCGTCCGGCACATTCTGGCAGTGCAACGCAAAAGCAATTGGATCTGGCTCTGAAGGCGCCGACAGCTCTTTGCAAGAACAGTACAACAAGGTAACACTATGTTTTAATACTAGCCGTTAAATTGTCCATGAAAAACACCCAACGCATATTACTGAGACTTCTGTTATAAATTTAAACAGGAATGCTATTGAACAGTATAATAAATCAATACGGTGTTGATCTGTTGAAAAAAAAAAGAAAATGAAAAAAGAAAACTTGTATGTAAAATAATGTCTTCTTTTCTGAATTTAAGAAATCGAAAGAATTTGCTCTTGTATCCCTACAGGATCTGACTCTCCTAGAAGCCGAGACCATTGCGCTGTCGATCCTGAAACAAGTTATGGAGGAAAAGGTATGGTTCTTGATGCGATTCCGAGCTTATTGCCACACTCAATTCACAAATCTTTATCGTCATCATCATTGTTGTCAAGACACCATCACTTATCTTGTGTACGGTTACATTTCAGGTTACACCGAACAATGTTGACATCGCCAAGGTATCGCCCACGTACCATCTCTACTCCCCCTCGGAGGTCGAAGCAGTCATCAATCGCCTGTGAGATATCAGAAACCCGTCATTCTGGTTATCGACATTACGATAGATTATAAGATTAAGATGCTTGAATATTTTTGGCTTTGCTGCTGTGTTAGATACTTTGCTAATTGTTGAATTTGAACGAGAAGATGTTTGTTCACTTTGTTATTTGTTGGCCTCAAGAATTTGACGTCTCATGGGACTTAGCTTCTCGGTTTGTTATCACATTCTTTCTTATTTGTGTCTTCCAACCAATTTTTGAACCAATTTTTTTAGTCTAATTGGATCCTTTGTAACAACCTGTCACAAATTAGTTTTATAAATAGAAAGTTTTCGAAAATTTTTGTGTAGGACATGTGTCGGTTAAGTCAGCGACACTCGAAGGACATATAAGTTTTTATTTTTTAAAAATTTTTAAATTTTACAAAAAAGAAAATATTTAAATTTATTTAAAAAAAAAAAAAAGATCTAACGTGTCTTTCGGCGAGTTATGCGAATGCCATGGAGGCATTTTCGGCATCGGAAGACTAAAAGTGCGAAAATTTTTATTTACGATGCGACAAGTTATAATGAGTCTACGATATGGATAGATATTGCATACGATACTTTCACGACAAAAGTTCTTCAGACCAAACACACGAACAACGACAACATTTAAATGAAAATACTCCGCAGAAATTTGCAAAAAATCTCAAGAACCCGAAACACGGCGAAGACATCGAAAATTCTCCGGTACTGATACAGCGGTCGATCATCAGCTCCGGAACTCATCCATGAACTCCTTGTGAAATTTGGTGAGACGGGTAACGATCGCCGGAATGCGATCCTCCTGCGGCAATATCGTGCACCGAAAATGCCACGTTCCGGGAACCTACAATAACCACAATTAACCGATCCGAATCTCATAATATGCATCATTAATTATTATATAGTCAACCAATACGTCTCTTCACGTCATGATAAGATTCTAACATATTAAATAACAATTTCACCTGAAAGCTTTAAACTGAAAGAGATACGCATAATTAATTATTTATATAATCAACCAACATAATTCGACGACTAGATTCAGCACAACTAGTTATAATTACCTGTTTGAACCCAGAACCCGGCACGACGACAATTCCGGTGGCATTCAGTAGCCGGCGAGCGTAAAATGCGTCGGGGGCTGCGCCAGCACCTTTCGCAGCTTCAATGGCTTTTTCCGGCAAATGAAGCCGCGGGAAGAGATACATTGCGCCTTCGGCCCTATTGCACGTCACCCCTTCTAAGCTATTAAACACTTCTTCGAGCTTCTGAAAAAGACGAAACACGGATTAAACTAAACCGAATTCTATTACAATCATCTTCAAGACAGTTTCGAAGGATATCCAAACCAACCTCAGCTCGGCGCGCTAACGACGACAGAATAGCATTCTTCTCCTTTACATAAGACTCATACGATTTATCGCCTTCCTGCGTGTAGTAAACGAACAAATGGGGTCGAATTCGACGCTATGTGATGTAATAAAGCGCACGGAAGTTACCTTCGGGGGTTTCATGATGAGGCTTGCGAGAATCTGTCCGGATATGTTAGAACAAAGGTTCACCGACGCGAGTTTGTAGATTTGATCCCTTACGTCAGGCTTGAATCCGGTGATCTCCATGTAGCCTCCTCGTTTCCCGCATTCTCCGTAATAACCTTACAGAGGAACGAATCGATGAAATAAATAACCCGAAACTCGTTTACTTTCCGCAACCGTATTTAATCATGCTCGATCGAAATACCTTTCGACACGGACTGGAAAGACACCAAGCAAATATCGTTATCCCCGTAACCCATTGACCGCGCGACTTTCTTAAAAGAGTGGAACTTCTTGTCCGCGACGTAAACGTTTTCTTGATAAACCTGCAACGATCCCGACGCAACATACGAAACCCGATAACGTTACTAATCTCGAACCGATCGTTTCGAATAGAATTAGAATCGGATCGAGGCATCGAGAACTATCACCTCGTCGGCTAAAAGCACGAGCCCTTCCTTCTTGCAGAAATCGACAATTTGCTCTTGGTTCTCTTTAGCCAAAACCTTCGAAAAATTGTTGCCGTAATTTAAATGATCGGGGTCGATCGCTATTAGATTCGACCGAGCTCAAGAAAGCACGAAAAATCGATTACCTGCCCGGTAGGATTGCCGGGATTTATTACGACCAATGCCCGGACGCTGATTCCGTTTGACTTCGCCGTTTTCAGCTGTTTTTCGAGCTCGGAGACCTCGAGGCCCCAGCCCGTCGCTTCGTCGAGATAATACGGAACCTGTAAAACATCGTGAGATTGTAATTCGGGTCGATATTCGGAAACCCGCATGCTAATTTACGATCGATACGTACGAGAGTGCCTCCGTGGAGGGCGATCGAAGCGGAGTAAAGAGGATACTGAGGAATCGGGCAGAGAATGCCGTCGTTCTTTGAGCGTATCAGCAGCTGCATCATCATATGGACCTGCAAGAACGACGGGGATACGTTTCCACGCAATTAGAAATCGTTTCATTTAAGTTTCTACTCAAATTTCGACTTTTTCGGCGATGTTCGTACCGCGGGACTAGCACCGTCGGTTAAGAAAAGATCGTTCGGGTCTGCCGGGTATCCGTCCCGGGCCTCGATTCCCGCCGCAATTGTGTCGCGTAGACCTTTGATGCCCTGATTTTATAAGACGAAAATCACATGCTAATACGAATTTGTTCTTTTACCATTTCAAATCATAATAACACTATTCAATTACAGTGTTTTATAAAATTACATAATTTTTTCTTATAAAATATCACATCAAAATACTATTTAAAACGCTATGATCACCTGGCTGTGACTATACGCGCCGGTGGCTCTTCCCGGGATTTGGCCGAGGATCTGAGACGCGCGCTGTATGGAATCCTCACTACAAAGTCCAATGAAACAGAGGAAATGTATCGAATCATTACTGATAACTCGTAAAAACCATGTGAGATTAAGACATCCTAGGACTACATGATCAAGAACACATGTAAGAATGAACTATAACGGCGAAAGCTACCTGAACAAAATTTTCGACTCGGGTTTATCTAGAAGGGCAGGATGATCGCACAAGGCAAGAACCTGAAACCAGACAATGCAGAGGTTAAAAAACAATCGATATGTTTGCGATTTTCGGCAAATGTATAGCGATGCATTGTAAGAACCTCTCGGAAAAAAGTGATCGGCTGCTGCGCGAGGGACTGAGGATTCCCGATGTTGCAATAGAGTATCTGTACAAGAACCGTAAACATAAATTTAATTAATGAAATTAATGCAAATCATCCTTGTTAGAAAATTTCGAAAAATCCAATTCCAAGTCGAGAAGCTCGCAATATATGTGAAAATTTCTCATACTTATTAATCGATAATAATTCGTTTTTTAAAAATATCAAATCAAATATTTATTATTTTCCAAAACATCGCTCCATTTTTCAATAAAACCTAGCCACAAATGATAAAAAATAATAATAATAAAAATTTGTTAAGAATTTTACTCCCGCCCTTACAGTTTATATGGAACTGAGGGGTATTATTTTTGGAGGATTTTGATCCAAATTTTATCTGATTATCAATTTTTTTCTTTCAAAAATATCAAATTAAATTTTTATTTTTTATTTTTATATCCCAATACAATAGTTTTTTTTTACTATTTTTTAAAACAACAGTCTTATTTTCATAAATAACCCAGCATAAAATTACCCGTACTTTTTCATTTTTATAATTTTTACTCTAAGGCAAAAAATAAATAAATAAATAAATAAAAAATTATACCGCACTGTTAAACTATTTCAGTGTAAAATTAATATTTAAATCTCGAACACAAAATTCAAAACCTACGAATAATAAGAAATTTCAATTCCGACAAAAAAAAGTTATACATAGTTGCACTTTTTAGCGTCAAAATATTATTTAAATTAAACCTCGAAAATAAGTGCAAGAGACGAGAATGGAAGATTTATTTACCTCATCGAAAGGCTGAGAGTTGGGGTTGTTCTTAAGTTCCTCTTGCAGCTTCTGTTCAAGGATCGATACATTTCAGACAACATTCAGGTCAAATCAATTCATATCCTAAGATTTTTGATATAGAGATGCAGAACGATGAACAACCTGAGCAAGGATCACGATTTCTCCGCGGACAGCGTATTCACACTCCAAAACCTGATTTAATGAAAATCAAAATTTAAAGCCAGAGATAGAACAGGATTGAAAAATAGGGCAAAACACGAACAAACATCAAACATCGTAAGAACAGAAAAATTGTCCGAAAATCAATCCAATTCGGTAAGATATTCAAAATCAGAGGTTCCTACTTTGGGATTGATTGTGTCGAGAGTTACTGGAAGGGACGCCATAGACGGACGACACTGCTCGAAGAATGAAAATGTAGAGAGAGAAAATCGATGTGGTGATCGAGGAGGAAGAGAGAGAGAGGGTTTTGGTATTTAAAAGGGGGTGGGTGGGGTAGGGTGGGGATGCAGCGGGGGGGCGCAGCAGCTGATTGATGCCAAGAATTTTCTGTGGGCTACAAAAGAATTGGTTGATTTTGTGTTGTGTTCTACAGCGAATCTGAAATCGGTGGACTCAAAATTAAGGAAAATTTTAGAAAAAGGAAGAAAAAAGCAACATGTGTTTGTTGGTTTTTTTCCTCGTGAAAAGATGTCAAATTTCTGACAGGTTTCCTCGAAGGAACGTGGTAATAAGAAGGGACAAAACAGGGACGCATCCGAGACTGGTTTTCTATGTAACTCCCACTGTTCAAACTCCACTTCACTTTATTATTATTATTATTATGATGATGATCGGATTTTTTATGTTATAATGTTTGAATACATAGATAAAAAAGTTAATTAAAAAATAATGAGATTAGTAAAAAAAGTAATGATAATTTATTTATTACTCCCTCCGTCCCGGATATTTTGTCAGTTTTACTATAGACACGAGAATTTATGAGGGATATAATTAGTAATTAATTAAAAATATATTAATAAAAATAATTATTATAGAATAAAAATAATTATAGATTAAACTAAAAATAATTTATTAATATAACTAAAATTAAAAAAAAGTTATAAATTAAATTTTTCAAAATAAAATTAAAGTGTAAGAAAAATAACAAAATAAGTTGGACGAACAGAAATGAAAAGATGAACATGAGAAGTGGAACAAAAGGAGTATTTATTAAAAGATGAGTAATAAGATTGTGGGTGAATAAAATTGTTTATTATAAATAGATGACAAAAAATGTGATATAATTATATTTATAATTCAGTACAATAACAACAATTTATCTATATATAATTTTTTTAAAAAAATGTATCTATTATCCGAAAAAAATATATTTTTTCTTCTCACAAAATATCACATCAAATATTATTTTCATATCAAACTCAAATCAATTTTTTTTTTCAAACTCGTCAAAAGAAACACACTTGCATCCAATTTATTATTTAAATTGAAAACAAAATCACCATATTAAAGAATGTTATGGATATGTTTGGTTTTAACTTAGAGTTTTGATTTAAACAATATTTTGATTTGATAGTTTGTAATAAAAAATATAATACTTTTATTAAGAACAATGCAAAAAGAATAATAATAAATATATATGAAATCATAAACAAACAAACTTTTTGGTGTGTTTGTTTTGTATTTTGGTTGAAGAAATATATACAGTATAGAAAATTATGTAAGTAATATAAAATAATGAGTGTGTAATATATAAATTTTATTTTATTTTTGATAAAATATGTTAAATTTTTTTTGCAAAATAAACAAACCCTAAATTTATTTATTATGAAACTGAAGATATTAATGAACTACTCCAACTAATCGTTTATAATTTTTCTCAATTAAGGTATTGGTCTTTTTAATAGATCTAGTTCACTTATGTATACATATATATGTATATATAGTATTATTTTTTACTTGTTAAATTATTCATTTTTTTCATATCTTTTTTTGTCAAATATACATTTTTTGTTAGAGAATTTTAAACTAAATAATTATTTTCACACGTAATTATTAAAAAGAAATAGTTAGAAAGTATACGTATTTCTATTTTGGGACGTCAAATTACAAAGTAAACGTTTTATTAAATACTTTATTTTTTTTTCCACAAATAATTTTACTTTATACCAAAAAGTAAAGACAAAAATATAATTACACTACTTTTAACTACTAATTATAATTAAAATACTACCAACATTGTAAGTGAACATAGAAAGTACTATAGTAAAAAAAAAAGAAAAAAAGAACACCAACATTTTTTGTTGAATTTTATTACTACTACCCTCCGTCTCATATTTATATATTCAATTTTTTTTGCACTGAGTTTTAGAAATATTAGTATTATATTGAGATAAAATATAAATAAAGGTAAAAAGACTAAATTAACCCTATTAGTATTGTATGATATAAAGGTAATAATATTTGTCTAATATATTGTAAATTGGAAGGATATTTGTAATGTTAGATAGATGATACAATTAATAAAAAATAAATAAATACTTTGTTATAGAACGAACCAAAATAAAAAAAAATAGAGGAAGGATGCATATAATATTCAATATTAAGATTTTATAATAGTGTTTTTTTTTTTTTTTTTTCTAGTTTTTTTCCACATATGAGTACGGACAAGATAAATGCTGCCTTTTCAGCCTCCCAAAAGTCAACAATAATAACAATAGCCAAAAGTAGGATGTGTTTGTTTGTGTATAATATATATATTTGGGATATATAATTTCTATTATTCATTAAATATATATTAAAAAAAATTAAATTAAATACTACTTTTGTTCTTTAATAAGAACATTATTTGTTTTTCTCAAATAATTTTTTTAATATTAATATTATATTGATTTGTAGTAAAATAAAAAATAAAAATACTTTTATAAGTATGATATAATATAAAAGTAACGATATTTGTATAATAAATTGTAAGTAATAATAATATTTATAATATTAGGTAATTAGTGCAAATACTAAATTAAGAAATAATATTTTGGGATCGACAAAAAATAAAAAATGATATCTCTCTTATGGGGTGGGGGAGTACTTATTTTTTATTTTTTATATTATATTCAAAATTAATTTTACGATTAAAAATATTAGATCAATACATGTTTATACAATATTATACAACTATTCAAATTCATAATTTTTATTATTCAAATCTAAAATTAAAATATGTACCGCTAATTCTTTTTCTATAAATATCTTTTAATTAAATATGTTGTGTTAATATTTTTTTACTATGATATTATAGTATTTAATTTTTATATTTTAGTGAAAAAATATTCAAAAATATTAAACGTACAAATAAATTGGATGTAATATTTTTGGAGTTCAATTTTATTTTGAATTATATATTTTTTTTGTGTAATAGTTTAAAATATAATATTTTATTAAAAAAAATCATTTATTTTTAACAAAATTTAAATAATTCCATTCCTTTAAAAAAATAAAATAATAATGATGATAATAAATTCGACGTAAAAGCAAAATCAGCTTCTTGAGAGGCAAGCCAACCCTTCTAGAAGGGTTGACAGTTGACTCAATTATTGTAATAATAATAATACATTAATAAATATGTATGTAATAAATAAAATTTTATATACATCAGTAAAGTGATTCCTATTATTTTGATTTTTTTTTTCAATTTATTATTGTATAACTACTTCTTATATATAAATATATTATTTTATTCACAAACTATTACATACAATTAATATTTAAATGTAAATATAGATAAATATAAGATTATACTAAACAAAGGCCATTATTGCATTTTTTGATTAAAAGCATTATATCAATATTTAATTTGTATTCAAAATATCAACAACAAAACTTTTATTTTATTTAAACTTAAAAAATTATACAATCATAAAAATACAAATAAATTTAAACTTTGCTTCTTCCTCTTTCTTTTTTATTTTTATTTTTTTTATTTTGGATTCAGTTTTTTAAGAAGTTAGCTTATTTCAGTCTTTAACAATTCAAATTTTTATGAAAAAAAAAATAAGGAAAAAAATAATTTTTGTCCCAATATAATTAAAATTCATCAATTTTGGTCTCAATATAAAATCTTATCAATTTTGGTATCAATATAACTAAAATTCATCAATTTTGGTCTCAATATAAATATCTTATCAATTTTGGTCCCAATATAACTAAAATTCATCATTTTTTGTCCCAATATAACTAAAATTCATCATTTTTTGTCTCAATATAATCAAACTTTATCTTTTTTGGTCTCATCGTTAACAAATTGACGAAAAATGTTGATACCTGAAGAGGACAAAGTAGGTGCATTTCAGGGGATCATTTTCCTAGAGCTCCGTACTTTTATGAATTTTTTTCTTGCATGCATCCCCAATGATGTTCAGAACACACAATGAAAATAAAGAAACTTTGGAGGACAGATGCCAGGGAATTCATTACATCTCAACAGGAAAAATGCTTTCCGAAGATTACACTGGAATCCCTGTTGTCAAAGTGTATGTAAATAGAGAAATGCAGAATGTAGAATCTGCATCATCTGGTTCCTCTCCAAATGAGAGTTGCATATCATCTCCTTTTCCGTCGATTGTTGACGGTGGGGCCAAAAAAAAAAGATTTGATTATATTGGGACAAAAAATAATGAGTTTTAGTTATATTTGGATTAAAATTGATAAAATTTTTATATTAGTACCAAAAATAATTTTTTCCCAAAAAAAATAAAATATATTATGATAGCAAATAAAACATTTTATTAAAAATTCTATTGAAATTAAAGATCAAAATTTAACTAAAAAAAACATTCTTTTATATTCAAGTTTGGGCTTCAAGACTTAACAATTGTGCTATTGTTTACATTGGATCCCACAGCCCACCCCCAAAGTTATTAAATTTAATTTATTTAAAAACCACTAATAATTTCATTATAATAACCATACATATGTTATATAATAATAATAATAATAATAATAATAATAATAATAATAATATAATTATTGGGTAAGTATTAAATATATATATATAGATGTTTGTGTGTGTACGGATGTATGTTTATATGTATATAAATATACGTATAAGAGTAGTAATTGTATTATATTGAATGTATTTAAAAGCAAACAATTAATGCAGAGGGAAAAGGGGACAATTAATGCAGAGAGAGAGGCAAGGGAAATGATTGTGAATTTGTATTTTCATTGCCTAAAATACACACATATTTATAGATGCGTGAGTCGGTAAATGAATGATCGTAAAGCATCCATATTCTGTCGACGTAATTGCTGCGTGGTTTGTAACAACATACTGTTTTTACAATTGTTGTTCATTCATTCAAATTTATATATTTCCTATTAAACTAAAAGTAAATGTATATTAATATTAAAATATTATTAAAATTTTTACATAAATTATAAATATTTTATCGATAGACCAAGTACAATGTGTAAAGTTTAAAAATAAATTTTATCTTGTAAAATCATGTTAACAAGAAATATGTAATTAATATGATAACAAAAAATAAAAAAATAAAAATTATTTAGATAGTTTTAGGTGAATTAAACAAGATAGTATTATTGAAGTGTGATTCAGTGAACATAAGTGTTGAAATTTTACAAATCATATTGTAATTTTATTTAGTGTGTGTATTTTAGATATTTGAATTTTGAATTTGAATGGTTATACATATAATATTGATGTGATCTTTTAAATTAAAGTTATTAATTATTTTTATTTGAGGATTTGATTTAAAAGTATTTAAAATGATTTTTTATAAAGTTCATGAGTTTCATTTTACATTGAATTTCAAGGCTATTTGGGTGTGAATTTTCAGATTCATCTTCTTCAATATTTCAAATACTTCATCCGTCTCATAATTAGATATCCATTTGTAAGTTGTATTTATAATGTTAGGTAGATAGTACTGTTTAAAAAAAAAAAAAAGAAATTGATGACAGACTAAAATAAAAAAATAATACACAACACAATTTCACTTATGTGATATTATTCATTTTTTCAAAAAAATATCACATCAAATATAATTTTTTTTCATAAAATATTAAATCAAATACTAATTTATTATTATTATTATTTTTTTTTTCCAAACTTTCAAAATTTAAAAAACCTCTGTCTAAACAATAACTTTTCTTATACAATCAATCAAAGACAAATTCAAACAGAAACCAAAGGACAATAAAATTGTATTCACAAGATGTCCAAAAGAACATTTTATAAACTACAAACACATAATCTATAATCTGATTGCAAGACAAAACAGCAACAATCTGAAGCAGATCCATTCTACATTAATATACACAAACAACAAGAACAATCAACTACATTCTCAGACACTCCAAAAGGCTCTAACAATTACCTGTTCTGCGTCGGATTCGATCCGCTCCGAGGTACTCTTCTCGAGCTCGAATTCAATCTTTCATATGGATTCTTCTCCTTATCGCGCAATCTTTTGAAAGTTTGCGAGGACACCTCTGTTCTTGCGGATTTTCGATCAGATGTCTTTGTCGACAGGGGCCGAGCTGACGTGTCTGAAAGCTGAAGAAGCAGTAGTGCAAGAACCATGGCTGCCAATACTGTGGTGAAGTATCTCATGTTGAATGTTTAGAGCCCTTTTGCCGGTTTGATCAAATGACTTATATACTGACTGATATACATACATACAAGCATATGTATATATATATATATATTTGCACAAACTCACACAGAGACATATGCAAGTGATGAAGTGGAATCCTATGCAGTTGGGATCATGTGATTATTCTTTGACTGAAGTACTTTGAGGACTAAGGCAATTTTTAATTTTTTTATTTAGTTTCGATTGTATTTATTAACAATTGTTTTTGTAAAAAAATATCGAATCAAAAAACTATACGCAATTTGGAAAAACTGTTCTTCCTTGTAGTTTAAAAATTGCATAAGCTTCCTATGTGTTCTGAAAAATATTACACTGAATCTTCAAACTTCTAAACTTAATGATCAATGAAGATCATGGTTTGTTCGAGCACTACAATTTTTGAGGATTCTGTATAATGTTTTTGGAAGTATATAAATCTTGCGCATTTTCTAAACCACGAAAAGAAAGGTACAAACTTTTCAAACTATAGATATAAGCAATTATACCTTTAAAATATGAAGTTAAAAAAGGTTTATTTGTTGTAGTTTGAAACTGATTTGAAATGAAGTATTGATTTAAATTTTAGTTTAAATAGTATTTTAATGTTTCTTATTTAAAATAAAAATAAACACAGCCAATTTTCTATTTATTTTCCATTATACTTCCCAAACTTGTATGTATACAGAGACTAATATTTTTATTACAAGCAAGGACTAAAATATTGGATGTCATGGATCCAATCCATTGCGGTCACGTGATTAGGCACGTGATTGTGCATCTAGTTTATGGTATTCAGATTAAAGAAAGCAACCAGTTGAGTGGAAACACAAGAAGGCAAATTCATATATAGCTAAGGCATGATGTCAAATGATTCTCAGCTAAGCATTAATTTAACTCATAAAAACAGACTGGAAAGTGATCTCTGAAAAGGGGTTTTTAGCTTAGGAATTTTTACTCTCTGTCTCTCTCTCTAAAAGTTAGCAATCAAGATTTGGTAAGAAAAAGACATTGACTTAGCAGCCTCCCATGTTGATGGTGTCTCAAACAATATTCAAATCCCTCAGAGACAAATTAGCTTTCATATTAATTCTGAAAACCCCCAAAGTCCAAAGTAGAGCATTTTATCAAGAAATTTTAAATTCAAAGAAAGAAAAATACTTCAGTTTCTTTTGCATCACATTAAATCTCTATTTAAACATAAAATACAAATATAAACACAAATACAAACCAAACAGATCCTTAGGGTGTCTATCCTGCAACCTCATCATCACCTCAAGAACAGATAGATAGATGTATGCATTTTGAGTTCATTATAAGGTAAGCAAATTAGAAGACCAAATTTCAAATTTCTGAAATATTGAGGTATAGCAGAAACTCCTCAGCACCATCATTTCTTGGCTATGTCTGAATTTTATAATTCTTTTTATTTTTTATTTTTTTCCTAAGTACTGTTCTTTCTGGGATATGATTCCTTTCACTATTAACTTTTAAAGTGACAACCAACAACCATCACCTATGCCCAGACATTAGTTAGCTCTATTTCACCTAACAAGAGAAAAGTTTGCCATATTCTGAAGTGCAGTTTCATGTGCAAGAAAATCAGGTTAGCTGTCAATGTTTAAAATAACACAGCAAAATGACAAAAAGAGAAATCCATCAAGTGATTGACAATCATTTTGCTGAGTGATTTTCTCTCACACTCAAAAAGAGACACTTGCAAGGTAATTAAAGGCTGTTTTTATTGTAGTTGTTGCATATGCATGGTTACTGTCTTTTAGTTGATTCAGATTTACAATCTGACAATTGGGATCAATTGAATTTTTTTAGGGTTCTTGATGCTAGTAATTAATGTTGGTGTATTGAACATATTTCCTTCTAGGATGAACAGCTATAAATCTCAAGAGTATTGCAGTAATGACGAATTCGATTATCAGGCAGAGTTCAATCAGGTATGTAACTTCTATCTTCATTAAATCTTCTCTAGTTCTTGATCTTTAATCTAATGTAAAATGCTGCAGTTCTTGGAAGAAGCCAGAAAGAACACAGGCAAAGGGACATCGAACACAAGACAGGTCGAAAAAGATCAGTTCAATGGGAAGCAAAAGAAATCAAAATCATGGAGATGCTTATTGTTTACCTGGCTGAAGCTTGACACAAAAATTAAATCCCGTGAACAGAAAATGGACTGCACTTCCATGGCTAAGCCGAGGCGTAAAAATGTCTCGGGTCCAGTCCAGGGAAGCAGCTGCAGCATTGCTTGTGGAATAGCCCTGAGAGCAGTTTCGGGTCCTCTTACCTGCATTTTAAGTTCAACAAGGGGAGCAGACGAATATGAGGTACCGTATACAAGTCTTGAGCAGATTAACAACACCAGAAAGCAGATTCATCCCTACGGACCTATTTACTCCGTGACATAGCTAGAAATCACATTTCATTTTCAATCATGGACAATGCTTTCGATATAAGATAGTGTAAATTCTTGCAATGATCTCTGGAATTAACATCTCAATAGCATATTTCACAAAATGCAAATTTAAAAAACAAAAGAGCTGCACAGACTCACAATTGAAAGAATTATGTCGAAAATAGTTCCATTTTCTGAGCTTAGTGATACATAACAATTTCTTTAACTAAGCTATTGATCTAATACTCTTCTGTATGAGAAGAACGAGCATTGTTTCTTCATCAAACAGAGAAGCAAACCTATTTTTATAGAACAAACAGCAGATACCGGCTAAGCCTCTGCTCGATATAGACAGGACTCACAAGATAGTTACAAGCGGCGAATCTTCATCCTCGCCAAGAATTAAAGAACATGGAATGAATAAAAGCAATCAACAAGATCTTCATAATGTCGAATCATTCTCTTGCATTTACCGTGTTGATTTCTTCAATCCAACTCACAAAAATCAAGCAATCAGACTTGCCCTGTACCTCCTTGCTCGATATCTGAATTTCTTGGACTAGAAGGATTAACCCTTCTATTGCCACTCAAAAGTCTCTTTAGTGATCTGAATCTAGTAGGAATCGGCGATTTCTGTTCATCTTCAATGGACTGCATAGGAATATCAATTGCCACCACACCATCTGGCCTATTGCTTGCCGATGCTGCCACAGCTGCTGCTGATGATGACGACGAAGCACTTGATGGTTCTCCACCTTGATGATTCTCCTCCACACAAGGACTAAATGTGCTAACTGTCGTCTCGTCGCCCCAAAACAACACATTGGTTGGAAAACTTGGAGCCTCTGTCGAATTCTCCCCTGCCGGAGCTTGGAGAATATCCTCGAGTGTCACCTCAGCTTCGGCGCCAGAACTCTCATTCGCCACAGGATTCCGGCAAAGAGGACAGGTGGAGTGTGAATGAAACCACATATCAATGCAATCGACATGGAATCCATGGTTGCATTTGGGAAGAAATCTGGCTTTCTCCCCCTCAGAAACCTCAGATAAACACACTGCACATTCCAATCCATCCTTGAATTGGTTGGGATCGAAAACAACCACAGGTATGGCTTTGAGGACAGAGGGATTCAACCCATGGCGCAAGGCAGACATTGCCGCCCTTTCTTGCCGCCCTCCGGTGGTGATTCCGCCGCTCTCTCGGCGGCGGTGCCAGACCCACCTGGCGTAAAGGTGAAGGCAAGCGACAAACACTACAACGAACAATAGGATAATGATGGCTACAACCATTATCTTCCCTGTTAACTCAATCGCATTTCCATCAGTCAACCTACTATTTCCATCTAACGAATCCGCCATTTCTACAGATCACACAATCTATTGCAGCAGAAATGCAATTGAAAGAAACAAAGGGAAAGGATAATTCCTAAAACTCAAAGTGAATTTTCGAAATCCCTAATTCCAGGAAGATAAATACAATCAGACCAAATCCGTGATTTGAAATCAAACGAGGAGACCAGAGACAGGTCAGAGCAAAAGTTTGAATTCCAAATAGCCCACAAATATCAGAATCTTCGGTGAACACAAAACCAAATTGCTACAATTATATACACCAACAAACGCTGCTTGTCAAACAAGAAATTAACAAAATTGACATCAGGTCGCGCCACTGCAATGCGGAAATCAACGGGGGAATAGAAAAAGATGAAGAGTCAGCTAAGAACACTCGTGAGGAGGGTTCGGGGGAAGATGTAGAAGCTCACACGGCGGCGACTGCGACTCCAGTCTTCCACTTGGGGAGGGGAGACCAATTCAAATTTCAAATTGTTCCCTGCATATATAGAGGATTAAAAATTGATGCTAGGGTTTGGGTGCATTGACCAGTGTGGTGGCGTTGATGGTCTATGGTGATTTAGGGGAAGGTAGATGCATCCGCCATGGACTTTTCTTCTGGACGGACTGTGGTTATGCTTTGAAGTGGTTGAAAGTTGACTGTTGCCATGGCCATTGCAAGACCCATGCAGATGCTCGTTAATTAATTAATTATTTTTAATAAAAAAAAATAGAATATTTTTAAATATTATTTTATAATTTAAACAACAAAAAAATTGTAGATTGAGTGACAGGAAGTAATTTTTTTTTTTCTGATAAATTTATTTATAATAATTATCCATTCATAATTTTATTTTATACTTTTTATTTATTTATTTCACTGAATTATTATTAATTTTTTAATAAATTTTTTATAATATTAATGTTTTCTTTTTATTTATTATATTTTTATATGAAAATAATATTATCTTTTAATTAGCTAGAGTGGCATAAAATAAGCTTCTAGAGTGATGTGCCGTTGAAGGCTTTAAGCCGTCTTAGTAATTTTCTTCATAGAACATTCTTAGATAAAACATTACTATATATATATATATTAATTAAATTAATAGAAATATTTATGGCTTGTATTTTCAAATATTTATTTTTATTATTTGTAATTTAAAATTTTAAATATCATATGTATACATTTATATTTAAAAATAATTTATTTAAAATATAGCATATCAAATATGTAATTATACTGTATTTAATTAGTTGTATTTAAATTATATTTTTTTTCAAACACAAAAAAATACAACCAAAATAATCATATTTACATTATATACTTTTTCATTCTACTAAAATCACCATTACTTTAAAATTAATTGAAATATTATTTAATTGTATCCTAGATTATTATTTAGGTACATTTAAATAGTCTTTTCATTCCAATTTAATTACTCAATCCGTCCTCCTTACCATGTCGTTGCTGTTTCTCTTTGTTTCATATCTCATATCACTTTTTTTTTGAAAAATAATTACTCATCTCAATCTTATTTTAAATTTTCTAATTTAATTTTTTTTAATTTTAATTAAATTAATTAATTATTTTAATTTTAAATAATTTATATAATATATTAATTATTTTCACTAATACATTCTTAATTATGTGGGACGGAAGTAGTATTATTTTTGTATATTTCACTTAAAATTGTAAAAATATTTTTTTATTTAAACAGAATTTAATATGTATTTAATTTATTCTAAAAAATTGATATAACATTGATAATATAAAACGAAAATGAGGTAAAATATAAGAATCATTACCAATTTGTTAATAATATTTTAAATAATTTAAAAAATGTTAATTAAACAGGCTTCCGCCAATTCAGGGGTTAGAAGAAATTGCGGGAAAGAAAGTCGGACAAAAGGACAAAAAAATAAATAAAAATTGTGTGCTAAAAAATCAAAATGGAAATAATTGAAAAGAACTACCAGAAATATAGGAAAACTAATAATTATGTAGGGAATAATAATAACACTCTTAATAATGGGCTAATGGCTATTGCTTCCTTACAAAGATTGTTTTTTACAAATATTTTGAAAGTAGTACTTTCTCTGTAATTCAATTGTGTGTTCATTTGATCGGATATAAATTTTAAGAAAAATAAATAAAATAAAATTTTTATTTTTTTTTGCTAAAAAAAAATTGAAAAAATAGTTTTTTTTACTAGAAATGAAAACGGAAATAAATTTAAATGACAATGAAAAAAAAAAATATATATATATATTTAGATGACAGAGGGAGTATTAGATTATGTCGTGGCTGAAATTATTTTTCATCTGCTTGGCAAATCGAATTAGTCGAAAATCGGATGAATTTTTCGACTTTTTTAAAAAAAGATTCAAAATCATTTTATATGCATTGAATTATCGAAGAAACTAATAAATAATTACCGGAATGAAGCAATGATCAATTGGGCTAGACTTAAATTAGTAATAGCACTATTGTATGCAAGAGAGAAAAATATCGATGTAAGAAAATTGGTAGAAACTGATGAAAATTAATTGCAAAACTACGGGAGATGTCTAGGCGAGCAGTGTTTCGGCATGGACCATAAGATGGCTCGTCTCATGTTGTTAGGCTTTGTTCGACACCGTCGAACCTTTCCTTAATACGCGTAAATTCCGCTCAATGCAATCGGATCTCGTTCAGCTAAACTTTACTTGATGCGGCTGGACATTACTCGACGCTTAATGGCGCTGCTATTTTGTTATTTAGAACATTTATAATAATAATTGTATTATTTTATTACTTGTCCATTTAAAAATATAAAAATAAAAGCACAAATAAAAGTTAAAACTTTGTATTTGGATGTATTGTTGCAAATAAGTACTCCCTTCATTCCATATAATACGAGTGTATATTACTGTAAACACGAAAATATATTAGTAAAAATAATTATTATTTAGTAAAAATAATTATAAATTAAGATTAAGATAACTAAATAGTTTAATTAAGATTAAAAAAAATTTAAATTTTAAATTTTAAATTTTAAAATATGATTAAAGTGTATAATTAATTTTCCAAAAAAGGAAAGGACAAATAACGTGGGACAGACGGAAATAGAAAATAGGGACAAATTATGTGAGACGGAGGAAGTAGTTTTTAAAGAAAATTAATTTTATTTTTTAGTAATTGTATTTTCCAGTATTATTAAAAATACTCTTATAACTTACTATATATTACACAAATATCATTACATTTGTATCACACAACATTAATAAATTATTTTAATATTTTCTACTTTATTTATACCACGCTCCAATATAATACTAATATTCATAAAACTCCATGAAAAAAATAAACATATAAATAGATAAGGGACAGATGGAGGATATATATATATATTTTGTTTCGATTCAAAATATTCTGTCTTTTGTAGTAGATTAATATTTTATTAGTTAGTAAAAGTGCACATAAGATTAATATTTTTGTAAAAATTAAAAGTATTTTTAATATTTATATATATTATTTTTTTTACTATAATAAAAAATAAAATAGACAAAAACATTACAAAAAAATGTATATACATTGAATTGAGATATAGAGAGTAATGCAATAAAATTGAAAATACAATATATATATATATATATAAACATGTTCAGAATTATTAATATGTATGTTAAATTTGCTATCTTAATTTATTTTTTATAAATTTATTAGCGTCAACAAAAAAGGAAAAGCTCAACATATATATCTCACATTATTTCGTTATTTAAAAATAATACTACTACACATTATAATTAAAGAAAAAGAAAATTACAAAAAATTATTTAAAAAAAAAAAAAAAAAATCTGGACATTATCCTGCCGTAACTCCTCCGCAGAGAAGCTGTTGTGTGGTTCTCCGTCCCGCCTTGTTTCGTTTCAATCTCTTCTTCCACCAAATTTGAAACCCATTTCAAGGCTGTAGAAGATTCAGGGCGCATGTAATCACAACTAAGTGGAGCTTTCAAACTTTGTGCCTGAACGTTTGCGTTTTCGGACTTGCGATTTGATGCGCTCCCCCCATCCCCATGCCTTTGTCAGGTATTTGCTCGATCTTTGCTGTGGCCCGTCTTCGATTATTTAATTTGATTTATATTGTACGTTTAGCTACTAAGAATTGCTCGTTTATTCTACCATAAAAAATTTCGTGCGTTAGGAATTAGGGTTTAGAAATGGTGTGTTTTGGATTAGGGAAAGTTTATGAAATTTGGTATCCGCTGTCTTGCAGGTTTTGCAATTTCGCAGCCTTGTTCTTGTTTCTCCAACAATTTAGCAGAATTTAGGTACGAAGCCAGTGGGCATAGCCAATTTGTGGTAGGAAATGATAGGGGATTGGGGTCTGCATTTTATTGGAAAACATTGTGTATCACCAAAAAGGTGGGTAAAAAAATTGATTTCGGAAGAGTTGAGGTATGGCGAGGTGGGCTGATGGTAAAGGCAGTTGCTACTTTCGAAATTGCCAAAAAGGAGGGGGTGAAGGGCTATCGGAATTTTTTGAGGATGGATATGGATTCAGGAAGTTCTAATGGTCCAGCATTTGAGATGGAATCTTCAAGTAAAGACTCAAAAGAAGTGAATGAGAGAGAGAAGTTGAGACGGAAGAGGATTTCAAAGGCAAATAAAGGCAATACCCCTTGGAACAAGGGTAGGAAGCATAGTCCAGGTAATCTGTTTCTTTGTGTTTTGTAAAAATCGAAGTGGTCAATTGGTCATACTCATTCGGTGTTGTAGTCGAGCTTTTTATTAATCCGGCAATGTTTAAATTGTTTGCAGAAACATTGCAGCGGATTAAGGAGCGAACCAGGCTTGCAATGCAAGATCCAAAGGTGATGTCATGTAAGAAACAGAGGGTAGTTTAAAGTAAAAGCCAAAGTAATTAGAGAAATTATCGGGATATCTGAGATCGCTAACACTGTTCTTAACAATCTGTTGATTCGTTTTTGATCTATTTTATAGACTGGTATGATATATAGTGCTGTTATGGACCTTAGTGGTTTTAAATGAGAGATTTCTTCTTCTCATTTGAAAAAATGAGGTGTTCGTAAGGCAGCTTATTTTCTTTATACATTCTATCGATCTTAATGCTCTAAAACATTCTGCCTTTCTTGCCCGACAAATTGATGCTATTCTTTGGATTGACAAGTTAAGCCAATTTCATTGATATGTTTAGCAATATATGAAATAATTTTCTGTAGTTTTCAGTATATTCCATTTGGCAATGTCACTTTTAACTTAAAATACTCGCCCTTCATATTTACTTTGCTAAATATACATCGGTACTGATGATTTTTGGCTTCACAGGTCAAGATGAAGCTAATTAACTTGGGGCATGCTCAAAGGTCGGTTTGTATTTTTGGTTTTAGATGAGTCCCATCATTGGGTTCGTTGCTTTTCTACTTGTGAATCGATTTGATTCTTTAACGGATTGGTGTTTAGTAGAGTTTGCTGTATTTATCATCTGTATCTTGTCGCCCTGCAGTTTATGAATCGAAAATTTCAACATGTTGTCTTTCATTTTAACTGTACAGCGAAGAAACAAAGGTGAAAATTGGAATGGGTGTCCGACTGGGGTGGGAAAGACGCCGTGAGAGATTACGCGTGCAGGAGACGTGCCACTACGAGTGGTTGAATCTGGTCGCAGAAGCAGCCCGAAAGGGCTTTCTGGGCGAGGAAGAACTGCAGTGGGATTCATACATGATCATCAGCAAGGAGCTCGAACAAGAATGGCTACAGAGCGTCGAGGAGAGAAAACACATGCCGAAACCAAAGGGGAACAAAAGAGCGCCAAAGTCTGCCGAGCAGAAGAGGAGGATTTCAGAGGCCATAGCTGCCAAATGGGCAGATCCCGTATGATTTGCTACTTTGAATTCATATAAATTTGTTTCTTAATTTTCTTGATAGAATGTTATGTTTACAGACTGAATCTTTTTAAAAAAATAATACAGGATTACCGGGATCGTGTTTGCACAGGCCTGTCTAAGTTTCACGGCACAGACGTGGTTGCAAGAAAGCCGAGAACACCGACTACCCGCAGCAGACCAACTCAAAGAAGTCGTAGAGAAAAGGACAACGCAAGTAACCTTGAGAAGCGCTGCACAATCCAAGTTCAACGACCACGGTTAAAGTCGCCTAGAGGACCATCTTACAAAGATCCATTAGCAAACTCCAAACTCGAGATGATAAAGGATATCCGAGCACAGAGGGCTGCTGCTGTGACCGGAAGAAGCGAAGCCGTATTCAAGGCAAAGTAAGTTTCGATTGTGATTTTGATTTCGATTGAACCAAAATTCTTCTAAAAAGCTGAATTGCCGTAACATCGATTCGTCGTAGGTTGTTGATCTCCGAAGCAGAGAAGGCTGCCGCCGCCCTCGAGACTGCCGCCAAAAGTAATCCTCAAATTCAGGCCTCCCTAGCAGAAAGTCGAAAGCTAATTGCCGAGGCGATTCAGTATATCGAATCAATCGAGAGCGAAGATCCCGTTTCTTTCGACAACCAAACCAATCTTTCAGAGCCGCGGAACGAAGAACAAACGAATCAAATTAACCAAGCTACGAACGGTGTGATCCACTCGAAGCTAAATGGAGTCCACAGCGCCTTTTCGGGAGATATCTTCGTTCCTAACAAGTTCGTCTTACCCGAGCTGCTCAACGGAAATGTTCCCGAGCTGGTCAACGGAAATGTTCCGAACTCTCATCACAGATCCGATCAGCAGGCAAGTCTTCTCTCACTCGAGTTTAATCATAATGTGAATCGTGTCGATCTTGGAAACGAGCATTTAGACGAAGCCTCGATGGGTCGATTGGAGTTTCAACCAGAGAACGGCGACGCACCCACGAAAGATTCCCGGACGATCAAGAAATGGGTCCGAGGGAAGCTCGTCGAAGTCTCGGAAGAAACCAACTTGTAATCCGTTTTGCGTTTGCGTACTACTTTAAATAGCAGTGTTCGAGATTCGATAAATAGCTGTGTTCTTGGTCGCGTAAGTGTTAGAAAAGTATAGAGTGGTGTATTGTAGTTCTTTGTATCAAATTTTTTGGTGCAGAATAGATCGAATGCAGCTCAAATCGGCCTAGTTATTATTGTCGTTACATTAATGTTTTACTGAAAATGTTCTGTAAAATTTTACTAGAATTTTAGGGGTGTACTCATTTTATAAGATTTTATTGAATTTTTAAAATTAAATGTATTTAATTCAGATTATTATAGTCTATTAGAATGAGGCGTTAAAAAATTCATGAATCTGAACTCTTAAGTCACTTTGGCGATGATATATTATTTTATTTTATATTAAATTTGTTAAATTCATAATACATACTATAAGGTACTATTTAAATATTAGTAATTTTTATATCAAAAATTAATTATTATATCAAATCATAGTATAAATTAATTAAAAAAAATTTAAAAATATTTCTATTAGTATCTTATAATACTAATATAAAAATATTTTAAAAAAATTATACAAACACCCAATACGTCTCTTAGAGATGGAAGGATGTTGAAGTATATATATATTAAAAATATTAATATATAAAAATAGTATTATGCTATTTATTTTTATACAAATTATATAAATCAATAAAAAATTATTTTACAATCATAGAAAATCTATATAAATTTATAAATAGTCTAAAATCTATAAAATCCAATTAAATTAATATATAAAATCCATCAAAATTATTGTGTGAATTTTCTAAACCTATATACGAATCCATGTATTTTTTAAAAATCAAGTAAAATTTCAAATAAATACACTTCGTAATATCGGATTGAAAATCGTACTGTTGGATAAAAAAACAACAAAATTATGTATACTCTTTAAAGAAAAAAATAAATATTTTTCATGATATATTTTTAAAAAGATTATTATCGGAAAATATCAAAATTTCTAAATACATATATATATACAAACAGCGGACTTCTTCAAAATTTACAGTAAACACATTTTCTACGCAATTATCCATCATAAATTTCGGAGCAAAATTTATGATAAATTTAATTTAATTTATTTCTCAAACAATATACATATATATATATATATATATTAATTTCTATCGCTCAGAGAATAGCTTAACAATGGCGTCAAATCCTTCTTCTCAAACCGTTCTCATCTCCGGCCTCCCCAACGAAGTTACAGAGCTTATATTCCAGAAGCTATGGACAATCGATCGAGCTCGATCAAGACTCGTATCAAAGGCATGGAACGCCGCCCTAATCGATAAAAACCTCCCTCCGGCAACCTCCGAGCCTCCATGGCGGATTCTGAACGAAATTCCTGCAGATCCAGACGAAATTAGTTTCGAAAGGTTCCATGGAAAAATCCACACTTTCCAATATCCGGTCGCCGGAGAATGGTACTGCTGCGGCTCTTCCAAGAGTTGGCTCTTCCTTATCGGCGGCAGCGATGTCAGAAATGGAGATTTGCAGGCGATGCTATGGAATCCGCTCATCGGAAAAGTTCGGAATCTGCCTCATCTATCGACGATTCAACATTTCCGGCAGTTTCCGGCGAAGCACTATTTGTATTCCGATCATGAGTTTGCCAGAGGAGATATCCTGAAATTGCACGTCTTCTCCACCGATTCGATCGACCTCGCCGTCGCCGTCGTTTATAAAGCTTCGAAGACCGCTCAATTGGTGGTTTGTCGGCCGGAGGATTCGCAGTGGACGGCGGTGGAGATGAACACCGGGGAAGCTCTAATGGCGGATATCGTATTTCATGGAGGGAAGCTTATTGTCTACTGCAAAATGCTGAACCCTACCGGCGGCGACAGAGTTATCAGAACCGGCGGCCGCACCGTCGCCCTGGGTAGCGGCGCCGCCGCCGCCGCCGTGGAGGTGGAGCAGGTGACAATGGCGTACGGAGAAAGATCAGGTAAAAAAGGAAAGTTCGAACGGTTAGATGAGTTTGTATACTGCGATCATTTAGTGGCGGCGGCCAGCGGCGAGTTGCTGGTGGTGACCGCCACTTTCGACGGCGGTGAGTGGCCCGCGGTTCGCTTTTGAGGGTTTTGAGGTGCGCAGGATTAACCTCGACGGCGGCGGCGGCGGATGGGCGGCGGTGCGGCGGCGGGCGATATTTGTGGGAGGAGCGAGTGAGGCGGCGGAGGTGAGAATGAGGGGTGCGTATGATGAGAAATTAGGGTTTTGGGGAGGGGAGGAGATGGTGTGGTTTATATATGGAAACGGGAGTGTGATAATGATGGGTGAGAAATGGTGGATTAGCAGTGTGGGAGGATTCAAGCTGGGGAAGAAGGATAAGCAGTTCATGCCGACAAGGTGTATTCAGAAAATGAAGCTTTCAATTGATTATGTTGGATGGTTTACGCCAAAACTCCATTGTTAGGGTTTTAGGGTTAGGGTTGCTGCTGGTAAAATCGGCTTTCATTGGGGATGATGATGCTACGTGGCGATTTTCTATTGGTTTTATAAAAAATTATGTAATTCTCTTTATTTTTTGATTGGACCTTACTTTCTTACGTCAAGATGTTTGATTGGATATAAATATTTATTAATATGATATAAAAAATTGTATATTTAATTTGATATTTTTGAAAAAAAATAAAATAATAATTGAATAATAAAATCAAGAATAAAATTTTATAAGTAAACACATCCATTATTTATACACTCTCATTAAATTTATTCTTATTTTTTAAATTTAGATTATTATTAATTTTGCCAGAGTGAAACAAATCAACTGTTAACTATTATACAAAATCATTTTTAACGTTAGGTGAAACTAACTAATTATTTCTTCTATTATTTATTTATTTTTTATTTTTTTCAATTCCTCGTATAAATTTATTCTAAGTTTGTTTGTTTGTTTTTTTGTTTTCTTAGGACCGGAGAAAGTATATGTAACTTACTAGTTTCATGTTTTACAAGTTTTAAAATAATAAAAAATAAATACTATATATTTTTTAAAGAAATGATCTATATATAATATCAGAAGTTATAAATAAATATATGTAAGTAGCCTTTTTCAAAATTTAATAGTAACTATATAAGTATACTTTTTACGTCTAAATATATATATATATATGGAAATAGACTTTTTCAAAATTTAATCGTAACTATACATATATATATAATGTTATTTTAAACAGTAAATACGGGATCAAAATTTTACGGTAAATTAGATTCATTTTATTTTCCAAAACTAAATATATAAAAATTTCTATCGCTGGAGAATACCTTCAATGGCGTCAAGTTCTTCTTCTTCATCTTCTCAATCTGTTCTTATTTCTGGACTTCCCAACGAAGTTGCAGAGCTAATATTCGAGAAGCTATGGACAATCGATCGAGTTAAATCAAGACTCGTATCAAAAGCATGGAACGCCGCTCTAATCAATAAGACTCTCCGTCCGGCAGCTTCCGAACCTCCATGGCGAATCCTTCGAGAAAATTTTACAGGCTTAGTAAGATTCGAAACCTCCACCGGAGAATTATACAGTTTCAAATATCCGGTCGCCGGCGTGAGGTCCTGCTTATGTTCTTCCAAGGGCTGGCTCCTTCTCGCCGGCGGCCATGGTGGACAAAAAAATTTGCGTATGAAGCTATGGAATCCGCTCTCCGGCAAGGTTCGGAATCTACCTTCTATACCGTCGATTAAAATTTTCCGGTGGTTCGGAGAACATTATTCGAACGTCAATTTTGCCAGAAAATTGATCTCGAAATTCCACGTCTTCTCCACGGATTCCATCGACCTCGCCGTCGCCGTCGTTCTCAGAGATCCGGTGGCCGGAAAATTGGTGGTTTGCCGGCCGGGCGAGTCGCGGTGGACAGTGGTGGAAATGAATTCCGGCGGAGCGTGTATGGCGGATATCCTCTTCCATAGAGGCAGGCTTTTCGTCTACTGCAATTTGCTGAACCCCGCCGGAGAAGAAAAGGGCGGCAGAGTTATCAGAAACGGCCGCCGCGCCGTCGGCCTGGTTAGCGGCGGCGGCGTGGAGGTGGAGCAGGTGACGATGGTGTACGGATCGAAAGCAATTAAAGATCGGAAAATCGAACGGTTCGATCAATTTGTTTACGCCGATCACTTGGTGGCGGCGGCGGCCGGCGGCGAGTTACTGGTGGTGAGTGTAATGGCGGGTCCGTACGGGGAGGTCGGGTCACGTGATCGGTGCTTGTTTGGGGGGTTTGAGGTTCGCCGGATTAATAACGTCGGCGGCGGGTGGTTACCTGCGGCGGCGGAGAAGGTGGGGAGTGTGGGGCGGCAGGCGATATTTGTGGGCGGCGCGAGTGAGGCGGTGGCGGTGAGAGTGGTGGGTGATTATGAAGAGGAGAAATTAGGGGTTAAGTGTAAGTCCGGCGGCGGCGCCGGCGAAGATACGATTTACTTTATATTTGAAGGTCCGGTGAATGATTTGGGGAAGCAGTCGTGGGTTTACTGTGTGGGAGGGTTCAAGGTGAGGGAGAAGGAGTTTATAGCGAATAGGTGTTTTTGGGATATGGGTTTTCCCAGCAGCAACGTTGGATGGTTTACGCCCAAACTCCATTGATGTCGTGTTAAGGTAACAAGCCATACAAAAACTGTCCAAGATTTGAACAACGATCATATGATCAAGAGCAGATCATTTCTGAGACGAAGGAGGGAACAAAATATTAAAATTGTAACAGCGTAAGGGAAGATAGGGAATAATTTTTTGAGAGGGGAGGAAATGGAAAGGAAAATAGAATAATTTTACCTTTATAATATAAATAAAAAAATAAAAGTATTTAATAAAATTTTATTAATTTATTCATAAAATATGACATAAAATTTCTTTGTCTAATATAATAAAGCAATAACTTCATTATAAAGTATCGGAAGATGACGATCACGATGGTAATCTATAGCATCTCTTACGAGCAGAAAGAAAATTGATAGAAAATATATATGTGATAGATATATTTTTTCTTTTCTTTTTTTTTTTTTTATTAAAAACAACACTTCATAATAATATAATTAAATAAAAAAATTCTATAATACAACATGGAATATGGAAAAAATACTTAAAAAAAAATACAAATCAATATATGTGAAAACTAAAATGATAAAAAATATTCATTTCACCAAAACCTATGAAATGATTTAAAGAACCAAATTAATTCAAAAATTGAACTTATCTATCTATTTGATAAAAAAA